ATAGTTTGTTCGCCTTTTAAGCCGCAAAATATAGACGAAACCGTTTAGCGTATAAATAATGTAAGAAAGACTGGTACGATAATTCGAAATTAATTTTCTACCAAGGAATGTATAGAAAATTACTGCAATAAAACAGCAGATAATGACATTTTTCTATCATGTTAATAAAATACTGTACTTTTACATGTGCGAATTAATTTGGTCGGTCGTCCCGGTCAGATTGTATTAAGTTTTATCAAAATCGAAGCATGATATATTTTTAAATAAACCATCAAAAAAATTCTGTAAAAGTTATTTACATAGCGAGACTAATATTTTATTCGGTGCTGCTGCCTTCAATATTTATTGCATGACGGTGAAGTCGGATTTAATGACATAACAATATTTAAAAAAATAATAAGATGAGAAATTGTATGAAAAATTATGAGAACAATTTTTACCAGGAATGACATGTGTACGCCTTTAAATGGCCATTTAACCGTTGTACTATTCTATACTTGTACTCGTTATTTCTCTATTATTGTTGTTTTTTTATAAAAAATGTGTAATACAATTTTAAAATATAAACATTGTTTTTTATTGTGTATATGTGTACAATTATTGCACAATATAATTATCTTGACTTCTCTGTAGCATAGTGTGTATGTGAAACTGCCCCATTTAATAACGTACATATGGCTCTTAATAGAATTAAATAGCCTATCTAGGAAACAGAATCTGCGCGCAATCTGCCGTCAGTCTGTCGTCAGAATCTGTCGACAGGCTCTGCGCGCAGTCTGTCACCAATCTGTCGTCAGAGACTGCTAAAACAGTTTCTGTGTGCAGTCTGTTGCCATTCTGTCAACAGATACTGTTGACAGACTCTGCGTAAAATCTGCTCGCACAGGTTTGGCTATCTGGGTTATCAATATCTAATGGTATTGTTCTATCCCACATCCATTAAATGTCAGTTAATTGATCCATACTATACACTAGTGTGCTGATTATTATTTAGATAACATAAAAATTGATACTTATTAGTTATCTTTTAGTATTTCGTAAATTTATACCTAAATGATATCTTTTTGGATATTAAAAGTTATTTTTCGGGCGAACATTAGATAATCTTTTCAGTAAACAGAAACCTAACTTTTTTTTACCGAAAATAAAGTTATCCTGACATAATTTTGCATAGTAGAATAGAATACTTAAAGATGACGTTGTTCTATTTGGGTAGATCTCTACAAAACGCGTAATGGCAACGACATCTATTCGTTTTGACGAAAGTTACACTTTATGTACTTTCAATGAAACGGGTACGGTCCAGTAAGCTACAAATGCTTTGTAACGTTTTTACTTCTTTCTCTTTCTTCATTCGAATCCGAGAAATAGAACAAGAAAGAGAAACTTTTATAGCGGCATTTTTAGCGGTTACTGGACCGCGCCCTACAATCGTGCTTCGAAGAAAGAATCGAAAGTGTAGAAAGTATAATCAAAGGGAACGGACTCATGACTAAAGTAATTTAGGGTTTAGGGACGTCTACATTGGAAGTAAGCAGTAAGAAGTAGGAAGTAAGAATAAGAAATTGACCAATCATAATTGATTATTTTTCTCACATTCGACTGTGGTTGGTCAAACTCTTACTTCCTACTTCTTGCTATTTACTTCCAATGTAGACGTCCCTTTACACATCTTCACCATGCTGCTATCGAACTATCCCGTATTTATTTTATTTAAAAAGTAGTATCGTCAAAAGGAGCAGCGATGCTATGGAACATCGTAGGACTGAAAAATAAATCGTTCTATTTTTCCTGGTCTCAAAATACTACTTCTTCGCTGCATTTGAAATTGAAGAAGAAACTCAACATTTAGAAACGAAGGAGAAGAAATTGAACAAAAGAGCAGCAAAATGTTGTTGGGAGACGTGAGCGTAATATATGACTCACGCAAGACGTCGTCACTGAAATCGTCGTTATAGCACAAAACTTGCTCGATTACGCTTATCTTTTATCGGAACAGAGCGTACATTCATACACACATGATTACATAACAATATAGTTTCTCCGAAGGTACGTACCCTGCAATTTGTATATTTTTATCTTTGCGCGATTATATATTCCACAGTATCCGGTCGCACTTTTTTCGTCGTTTTCAAGTTGTGCTCCGTTGACCAGGGCGTGAACGCGCACGGGATCACTCCGCGAGCTTTCTTGTTTACACACAACGGGATCTCTAATATTTCATGTTCCTCCAGATGTGTCACCACACCCTCGCGCGCAAACTATGCGACGATTTGATGGAATGAGTGCGGTACCAGCGAGTGCGATCAATTTGCACCGACTGCGCTCGACGCGATGCACCGTGCACTCTCATCCATGACTCCCACGGCCCGAATCCACCTGAATCATCTGAAAGTACTGCCGCGACACGCACGCTGCGCGGATACGCGTCACTCTGTACTGCAAACACGTACCTGCTGTGGAGTCAGCGACGACTTTTGGATCAGTTTGGACGATTGGAGCAGGGCAGCCGGAATGAAGAGAGAAAACGGCAGGGGCGACTAATCTATCGTGTAGGAGAATGTGCGTGCCTGCATGGGTAAAGTCCATGACGTATAACGATTGTAACCGTGATTCTAACCCCGGTAATTATTAAGTTTATAGACCTCACTTCCAATTTTGATGAAAATATACTCAATCGACGTGTTTTTTAAAGGCAAACAACTTTTCTATTAGGAAAAATTGTCGCTCTCTACTGTGAAGCGAGATATTAATTGACAAAGTTGATCAATGTTAAGGTTAGGAAAACTGTCACACCGACGACAATGTATGTGCTTCGTAGTCACATCCCAGACAACACAATGTCCAAAATCGGATCATAAGACGTCTTTAAGATATTTTTAAGACATCTTTAAGACAAGTTTATAAGGATTTGTCTTAAAGATGTCTTAAAGACGTCCTAAAGATGTCTTATGACTCGATTTTAGACATTTGTGCTGTCTGGGATGTGCATACAAATACAAAGAATACATTTGCAAAGGATGAACTGAGGGTCCAGGGGGAGAAGCCCCCTGGGAGGGGTTCGGGGGACTTTGTCCCCCCGATTTGATAAAAATAATATTCTAAAAAAAAAAGAAAAATGCACCTCACATAGTGTGTTAAGCATATGTTGTTTTTGCATATGTTGCAATTCATATGTTCTACCTTGCATAGGGATCTTGCTAATCTTTTCAGCGTCCATTTTAGTATATAGTAGACTCATATATTTAGCAAGGCAATGATTTAGTAGAACATTTTCCTTTGCGTAGAGGTCTTGCTAATCTTTTCGGTATTAATATATACGATTTTTAATATATTGTAGATTCATTTATTTAGTAAGGCAAATATTTAATAGATATATTCTCTGTAGCAACATGCAAAAGTATGCAAATGTGAAATATGTATGTACTTATAATACATTGCTTACATTTCTATGAATATATTTATTAAATCTTCACCTTACTAAGTAAATGAGTCTACAATATACTAAAAATTGTTAATACCGAAAAGATTAGCAAAACCCCTAACCAGGAGCTTTGCTCCCTGAACCTCCAGTTCATCCTTTACAAATTCTTTGTTTTATATGTACATGTGACTACGAAGCCATACATGCGCTGTTTGTCGTCAGTGTGACACTTTTCCTAACCTTAACAGTGATCAACTTTGTCAATTAATATTTCGCTTTACAATAGAGAGCGACAATTTTTCCTAATAGAAAAATTGTTTGCCTTTAAAAAACATGTCGATAGAATATATTTTCATCAAAATCAGAGGTGAGGTCTGTAAACTTAATAATTACCTTGTAAACTATTCATTTAGCAATTTTAAATTTGATGAGAATTTTTAAAACTGTGTAGAAAAATATACAATAGGGAAGATAAATGCCATTATAATGGGATTATATAGATCTTTCCTTCATATTATATTTTGTCATAATTCTAATTTTGGAAATATTTGGATAAATTATCGATAGTGAGTTTTCACCCTTTTGTAAACTACTTTAGCAATTTTAAATTTAATGAGAATTTTTAGAACTGTAGGAAAATATACAATAAGGAAGATACATGCAGTATAATGATTATATGGATCTCTCCTTTATGTTACATTTTGTTATAGTTCTAATTTTGAAAATATTTGGATAAATTATTAATAGTGAGTTCTCATTTTTTTGTAAACTACTCATTTACCAACTTTAAATTTGGTGAATTCTTAGAACTGTAAAACAACATGACGAGATGGAGAAGATGCAGTATCATTATAATGGGATTGTGTAGATCTTTCCTTCATATTACATTTTGTTATAGTTCTAATTTTGGAAATATTTTGGTAAATTATCAATAGTAAGTTCTCACTCTTTTCTAAACTCATTTAGTAACTTTAAATTTGATGAGAATTTTTAAACTGTAAAATAATATGACATGATAGGGAAAATACATGTAGTTCCTCATTGTAATGGGATTGTATGCATTTATCCTTCATGTCATATTTTTTTTATAGTTAATATAGTTCTAAAAATGCTTATAAAATTTAAAGTTAATAATAAAAAATATATATACGTATATACGATATTAATTTATGTATATTAATTTAGTAACTGGAAAAAGAAACATTGTATATGTGATCCTTTGATTATTATATTAGAACTCACTATCTCACTCACTAAAGAATGTACGAGAATGTGAGGGAAAATTATTATTATCGGGAATGACGACTGATACTTCGACTGATTGATTGAATCGGACAAAAATAATCTCGCATGCTAGATGACACGTTTCCATCTTAGCGTAGATTAGATCTAATCTACTTAATAATATATAATTACAGATATTCGATGTATGATGCACTTTTTAAGATATCAAAGATTCGTAATCTGATGCGCGATTATCGCGAAATCTGTATATTTGACGTAATAATTAAATGATAAGACCAATGCTTATCTACATTATCAGTTTTATTAATTGAAGTCATTTTATATTCACTTAATATTTAATACAAGTCTCAAGATTTTGAAGAGTAAAAGAGTAGTATAGTGTCATGTTCTCTAAATTGATTAAATATTTTCCATGATAAGTGACTCATGCAGTTATATCTTGTACGTTCGTAATCTTTCGATTATTTTGATTTGTGGAAACGAGACGTCTGGTTTTTACATCTGTGTTTCAAAGAGGAATTTACGTATAAGAGCTGAATAAGCTCGCAGTGTCGCATTATTAGAAATTGCGACGCATTAGAAACAAGAAAAAAGACACGATAACTCAGTGAAATATTTTTCTATTCAAATGTTTCCTCTCGAGTTACTGTTTTATAAAAAAAGGAGAAGTATCGCTTGCATCATAACTAATAGAACGAGGAAATGGAATCTATTGCTCATGTCTTCTGAATGTCGTGTTTGACTTTTCCTTGTGCGGGTTTATACAAAAGTTGAGTCACGAGTGTCACAAGTTATAATTTTCCCTACGTAACGTAGATAGATTACATTTGATATTAGCTTACGAATAAATGAGGAATTACGTCAAAGAGTGAGGCGTTGAAATTAATTAAAAATAAAACAAATAATAAAAAGAAATTAAAATTTTTATCTGAATACTTTTTGCATTCCGTGATCAAACTTTATACTAGAGAGAAGGAAATAAATTCTCTCATTAACCTAATGCTTACCTTAAGTTGTTATTATGTCAAAATTATGATAATTCTCCTTTATCTGATCAATGCAATTTTCGAAAACGACTATTAATAATTTTATGTGAATTTCGTAAAAACAACGACATCCCATTCCTGTTCATTTCTTGTGGTTTCCTCTATTAGCATTATATCAAATTTAAAGCCTTCCGGTGTTGCATGGTTGATTATTTAATGACGATGATTCATATTTCTCCTTTATTTTCCGGCGTGCAAACGTAAGATAACTGGCTAATATTCCGTCGTCCTCACTTTATGCTTTATTATTATTTCTTCACGAAGATCCGTCATCTTATATTTGCAATTTTCCATTGTTTTATAGTATTCAAAGTTTAGGTTTGATCTATCTGAATTTGATATCATTAAATAATTGCACGTTTTTTCTTTTCTATTCGCGTGATCGGACAGTATTTGATTAAAACACTGTCCATATATTCTACTTGAATTTAAAATTGTTTTTACGTGATGACTCATCTTGTAGTGGCATGATAAACTATTTTTATTAACATTTTATTAAAACATAGTGATCGTGTGTGATCAAGTAGTGTGATATGCCAGAAGAATGAATATTTTTGTCGTTTCGAGTATCTAATCGTCGACGATCAAACTACTTGTAGATATTAAGTTACGTGCCGATTGCCAAGCGTCTGATTTTTAAACATGGTGTCATCTCGTCATCTTTGGCATATATGTTTTCATAATATGCCGCTTTTGGCCAGTGTATTTGGGTTTCGTTTCTTATGGAGTTGCGTTATCGCTTATATTTGTTGACAATAAGACGATTAAAAAAAATGTACTTTGCCGAGACGTAACAATAAAGCCTAAGCTATAATATTCTTGAAGGAATTATCATAGAACATAGAAGAAAAATTTCGAGAAAAATCCCTTAGAGCATTTTCTCCGAGTTCTCTGCCTTTTTCTTGCTTGCGGATATGTACACTCATGGTCGAAAATTTGTCTGACTTTTTTTGTAAATTTCAGAACCTATCCATCTTGTCCAATAAGAGTTCTTTTATTAGAAAATAAATTTTCTCAGACTGCCAAAAGGCAACTCGATTGTTATCATTGCCTATTAAAATTTATAAGTAATAAAAGATAGGCGAGTGTGTTACTTTCACTGCTACTTGTTGGAAGCTATTTGCAGTAGACATAATATGATTAAAAAGTTATTATTTATGAACCTGTCATTATTAGATAGAGATACAGATCATAACCGGTTTGCTCTTTCTGTCCTGTATACTTAGAAGCATCACTCTCTATCAATATTATAGCATTAACCCAGTTCACCCGTTAATCGTATCATTCCTTCGATTATACACGTATTACTAGACACGTATGACGACTGTGCTATTAAGATTTTATATTATGGAATCATAAAGTTACGAGAGATTTATGCTCGAGAGATGCGTTCAGTTCATGGAGGATACGTTTATTTCGCGCAGTTATGCCATCACAGATAAACGCGGGAACTCCCAGGATAGTGTCGCGGCCGCTCGTTGTAAATTACGGCACGTAATTTGCAGCACGTCCTCGCAGAATTTTTCGCGCATCTACACGCCTCGCAGTTCTGTAACGCCTTCTCGGTTATTACTGGTTTAAGCAATGCTAAGCAGTGAAGTAACTGAATCTGTAGGATAAAAAATAGTATAAGAACATTTTTGTTTTTATGTAGTAGCTTTTTACAAAAGCTAACAAATTAGATCTTATTATCATCGCAAATTCTTCAGTTGACCTATCATCGACCTTTTAGTGAAAATATCCAGATCCGATGTTTTTGTCTTTTGGTTAACTGGCGAATGAAAATAGAAGACTTTTCACAAACGAAATTCGAAGCAGAAAATCGCGTAGTAACATTGTATTCTCCTGTTAAAATTTTTGTACTCTAACAAAATATCATTTCCTCTTCCTCAGGGTTTGAAGTACTTACGTCCCTGATCGTCGACCCCTCTCCTCGGGTCTGTTGGCCAAGTTCGACAATGTTCAACGGCATCCAGTGGCATTCATAAACTGGCCAGTGCGTAACGAACAGTAGATTCAGCCGTCTGTTTTCGCTGCGTCGCAGCTGGTCGTGGCAGTCGCGCGAATGATCCACGATCAATGATTGCAGCGTGTGGGTGATATCAATGACACTGAAGCGGACGTGACTTCTACTAATAGTGCACGAATTCTTCTGCTTCGTTGATTTCTGTATTTCTTCTTTTGTCCTCAAGTAAGTGTTCTTTCTGGATTCCCTCTTTCAATACTCTGCAACGCAATTTAGAATCGATCTGCGATCTAATGATCCGCGCCTTCGATCATGCTGTTAGTTTACCGTTGTATCAACAACAAATCCGATCTAGTTCTTCAAATTGTTATTTTATCAAGGTCAGTTTGAGCATCATCGCGTTTCTTGAACGATTATCTAACTTTACCTTTTTTCTTTCTCTGGGCCACTCGTTACATCAATATCACGTGCTTTTTATGTCACTCAGTTACATCACTCTGACTTTGGAGTTAAACGAGTAGGACTTGAAGAACGTTGATCTGTTTATGCTGCTGTTATCGAAGTGTCTTCTCTAGAGCAACGCATTGGTACATCATGCAGAGTAGTTACGACGTGAGATCCAACGGCGATGCCGCCGCTGTCACAACAGTGTCACATCAGCGTATGCACGAGTCGGAGATTACTAAAGCCACCGAGAACACTTCGTTGTCGCCAAATAATCAAACTTACTTTGCCGACGAGAAAGTGCAGGTGCCAGAGACAAAGAGGGTAAGCTGATCTTGCGCTTTTGTATATAGCCGACAATAACGTATTATTGCTTATAGATTTTTTCGTATTTGTATGCAGATTCAATATCACTTATCTTAGTAACTTTGTAATAGCTCCCTAATGATCGGAAATTCTTTTACAGGAAGGATTCAGTTTTAGGAAACTATGGGCTTTTACAGGACCTGGATTTTTAATGTCCATAGCTTATCTAGATCCTGGCAATATAGAGTCGGACTTGCAGTCCGGAGTAGTGGCGAAATACAGGGTATGCCTCTGATTTTAACTCACAAATGTGCTGCGGCGCAGTGTGCTTCCATTTATTTTATTATTATTACTATGTGGAACGTTCTAGATTATCTTTTTGTAATGACATCCTCTGTTGACGTGTTCGCTTTCAGTTATTATGGGTGCTACTAAGTGCTACTATCCTAGGTCTCGTTATGCAAAGGCTCAGTGCACGCCTCGGCGTAGTGACTGGCTTACATCTAGCAGAAATGTGTTACAGACAATATAAAAAAGTACCTAGACTCATTTTGTGGATTATGATCGAAATAGCAATTATCGGTAGCGATATGCAAGAAGTAATAGGAACGGCTATTGCCCTTTCCCTTTTATCTAATCAAGCGTAAGTGTCTGATACGATTGCTAAATATTTGTCATTCTTAAACATACGTTAATGTACATAAGATATCTCCGGGAAAATCTGGAACACTTAAAATGTCGAGATTCACGTTACTAATTCTTCTAATAGTCGAGAAAATTAGTAGCTAGTATATCGTGACAATTTTTCCAACTATATACATTATACACTGAGAATAAGCTGATGTTTTATATAGTATATGTGAAATAAGATTATATAATTTATGTTTACACATACATACCATACATATGCGTATATTCGTAAATCGTTACTCTATGCAAGAATTGTTATCCTTATTTGCTTGTTATTGTTTCTATCTCTTTTTTTCTTTTCTTTCACGGTCACGGAACCGTAGATAGCGTGCGTAAATACACATGGAATGTTTGTAATAAAGGAAAAATAATGACAAGAGTGTTTAGTCACACAGTAATTTACGTTTCAGAATTCCTATATGGGGTGGCGTACTTATTACAGTAGTTGATACGTTTACATTTTTATTCTTGGATAAGTATGGCCTAAGAAAACTAGAGCTCTTTTTCGCTTTTCTAATCTCAGTCATGGCTGTTACCTTCGGCTACGAGGTAAATCGCTTCGAGAATATTTCGTCGATCGCATTACTCGCGAATGCATGACTTGAATCCACAAGTCTGACATCGTTGTGTTAAAGTTGATTTTCGATTTTTCAGTATGTCGTCTCTAAACCTCCTCAATTAGACGTTATGAGAGGTATGTTTGCTCCATGGTATGGCGGAATAAGTTACGATAACAAGGTGTTACTTCAAGCTGTGGGAATCGTCGGTGCGGTCATTATGCCACACAACTTGTATCTTCACAGTGCCTTAGTTAAGGTAGATGTATTGCTGTTAAATATATACTAATTAAAATAACGAATATTCTTAACTTTTCGATGATATATGTATATAACGAGATATTTTTCTATTTTGCAGTCAAGAGATATTGATCGCAGACAACCCGCGAAAATCAAGGATGCTAATATGTATTATTTTATCGAAGCCAGTATCGCATTGTTTGTCTCGTTTGTAATTAACGTGTTCGTCGTCGCTGTATTCGCACATGGTCTCTTTGGTCAGACGAACAACCAAGTCGTGAGTGTAACACTAAAAATAATTACAGATAATTGTTTAAATGCTCTAGTCACATGAATATCCATTCTACTTTACAGTACGATATTTGTAAAGCAAATAATTATACCCTTGGCATACACACTTTCGAGGTAAGCTCCCACTAAATGTTTATAAGCTCGTTTCACTAAATGTCTATCATATTTCTCTTGAACATACCCGCTGATAGAATCTTGCGAAAAACGAGACGCTGAATGCCGATCTCTACAAGGGCGGAATCTTTCTCGGCTGCTCCTTCGGCGCGGCCGCGATGTATATATGGGCCGTCGGTATTTTAGCCGCTGGTCAATCATCCACGATGACTGGCACTTATGCTGGCCAGTTCGCGATGGAGGGCTTCCTAAATTTGCAATGGGCCCGCTGGAAGCGAGTGCTCTTCACTCGAACGATCGCCATAGTACCCACGTTTCTCGTAGCGATCTTTACCGACATGAACAACCTGAGCAGCATGAACGATGTCTTGAACGCAATTATGAGCTTGCAATTGCCGTTCGCCACCTTGCCAACGATCGCGTTTACAAGCAGTGCCCAAATCATGGGTGAATTCCGCAACGGAATGTACGTAAATAGTCTCTTCATCTTCTTTGCTCATATTTATCCGAGTCTGCCCCTCATGATATGTACGTACCGTCTGCGTTGCAGAATCAACAAGATCGTGTCGACTGCATTGTCGGTCCTAGTGATAGCGATAAACATATACTTTGTGGCGCAAACCGTCCAAGAAGACTTGCCTCACACTTGGCCCGTGTATCTCGGCATGTCTATATATGCGATTTTATATCTTATTTTCTGCGCTTACTTGGCTATTCACATGGCTGTGAGCATGGGTGCAACGTCTCTTGGTAATCATTGGGTAAGTATGTGTGTGTATGCGCGTGTTCGCGCGCGCGCGCGTGTGTGTGTGTGTGTGTGTGCTGCGCATGTCTTATTTATTTTGATATCAATATCTTGATTGCCGCATTGGTTATTACAGAAGCTTGACTGACGACTGAATTGCCAAAGATAAATCTTTGTACCTACTTAACTGTTTCAGTTCGTTACCAAGTACATCGGTACGCCCGTAAGCACAACACTCGGTATATCGAACCCTGCTGTTTACGCCAGGTAAAAAGAATTCTTGCAATATTCATATATTGAACCATTGTCTCGCCGAGTAATCACTAATCACGTGTTCGTATGTGTTGTGGCAAAATATGTTAACCGGGACATTATTAAGCAAGGTGATGATCAATACGCTTTTCTATGTATACTAATTGTATGTGTATAGATACGAGACCTTCGGTGCGAGTGAAGCGTGATTTTATAGAAAGAGCTACTTGGTGTCTACGTACGCGCATTTTACGTGTTACATGACTCGGCGTGCACTCGACATGAATCATGCGATGATAAAAATATTTTAGGAAACTCAATAATTACCTTGCATATGTGAGTTCATATTAACAAAGCTAACAAAGCATGATGGGACACGTAGTGCAAAATACGTTATCTCGAAGTGATAAGATGCAGTGTTGGCGTCACATTCAAATGATAACATATGTAACCGAGTGCTTCGTAAGATACACAACTAAATATTCTCCTAAGACTTGTGTATATGTATGGTGAACATGGGAATGATTGGAAATATGAAATTTGCAACATGTGCTTTGTGTGTCGAACTAACACAGATAATTGACTCCGTTTATCCTACCAATGGTAGAATGGATTAAAACTTGTCTGGCCAGATGCATGAAAAAATTATGACCTATTTAAATTGAGTAATGCACTTGCATAAACGTATTCTTGCGTTACCATCCGTATTCCTCTTTTGTTAGAACACTGTGATGAAAGTTCACTTTCTAACTGATGCATTGATTATGCATGCGCTTTAGTATTGAGTACATAATATCAAACAAAATTTTTGTTTTCACATCATGGCGCAAACCATAAGGAATATTTTTACTTGCGATAATAAGTGGGAATTTATTTTTAAGGGTTCTTATAGATATATACTTAGTTATTTACTAACAAGAAACACTATATTAATTACCAATCCGTATAAAGTTCTTTTTTAACAGAGATGGATAATTTAGAATATATTATATATTATAAAATTAGCTCCTTTTTTTGTACACGCTCATGTGTATGATTCAGACTGAATTTTCTTCATTCATAGTTTCCACAATACGTCAGAAACCTCGTTAAACGCTTAGTGGGAGTAATGCAATTAAATGTACGAGGTGAATACGATCTTTGTGTTTCAACGAAAATGTGCGAAAACAATGTCACGTTGGAAATGTGTTTGTAACAACTCGTGACGTCAGCATGATGTCCCATGGTATGTGCCATCACAGTTATTATCTCGATCGTCAGAAGTATATTTCTTCATTATACAAGAAATGAATAATGATGCTTCACTACATGTTTTATCATCATTATTGAACGGTATCTCGTGCGGAATATCATTTGTTCATTATCTATCGATCACTAGCGGTTCCTGTTGATTATTTCTCACTGATTGTTCCTATTGATTGTTTCTCACTTATGCTTGTCTCAAAAGAGTTTACATACGATAAGTGATTAACTAGCATTATCTTCATTGCATGCAAATTATTAACACACAAAAAGTCTGGGCTCACGACACTGACTCCACATTATCTCGATATCGTAACGAAGGTAAGAACATCATGTTATGATCTTTTTCATTGTTTTGATATTAGTAGAAATCTAGTTCAACATTCGATTAACACATGTTGACAGTATATATAAATACATTGAATATATTGCAGAACAAATCCAGCATTTACCATTCAGGAAAGTTTTGGTGGCAGTTTTACATCTATACCAGAATATTAAAATTGTTAGTGACCAGCTTAATGAATGCGTAAGCGATGAGTGGCAAGTGTACGCGATAATCAACATATCTCTTCAATTATAGTCAACTGTATTGGAAGTAACTGATAGCATCTTACGATATCAATGTAACATTCCGTCATTGAATACACGCGTTTCGAGCAGACTATTTCCTAAATACGAAAGCAGGATTCTAGATAATTCAGACACTTATTTTACAGTGAATTTGAAGTATATTTATATGCATACATCGTAACAATATTGTGTTATTGACAAATCCAGATACATATTTATGTTTCTTGCGAACTATATTTAGTTCTTTATTTTAGAGTAATATAATTTTCACACGTAACTATTTAAGAAAAAAAAAAAACATGAAAATTATATTAAAAATAATTTAAATACTATTTTAGGACAAATATTTATATTGTGATCTATAAAATAAATATAATATCTGTTTTCCAATTGTTTCAACGACAATTAGCGCGACGAAGCGTTTCATCGTCAATTGTATAACTATTTATAAGACCTTAAATATACCACGAAAATTCTTTTTCTTAGTGAGATTTATATTTTTCTCCTTGATATTTACAATTATCTTAAAAATAATTCGACAGGCGCGTTCAGTTATAAAACGACGACTAATTTTAAAATAGGAACATATTCACGTGTATAACTGCATTTACAGATTCAATCAATATTAAAGATAAAAAAATATAATCTTACGAATATATCTCATAATTTCGATCGCCATTACTATCGAATTTCTATGGTCGAATTTTTGCAACTAAATGTTTGCTTTACGGGCAGTGTTACACATTAGCTCTTTTGCATGTTATTATTGTGTTATGTAAAGAAAAGCTTGATGTTCAAGCTCGTCGTCATGACTAGACAATTACAGCAGTATCACATGTATCATAATGGTTACAGTACAGTTACAGTAATTAAAATATACAATTCTCGTTGAGATCTCTACGGAGATCGTCTCTGTAGAAAAGAAATTTTCGTAAGTTGTTTCTTGGAAACATCTGTTGAGAAATTCGCTTATCGCACACTACATTTTGCAACATTGAATTACATTAAACCGAATATTTATTACATAACATACTTGTACACTTTTAAGTTGCGCAATATAACGCGTTATTACAAATAGCAATACATATATTCTCATATTGTACGTTTTCTCTTTATAAAAGTATCTGAATATCTGTCTCTTTCTCAATAGTCTTAAAATTTGCCGTGTGTTTAATTCGTGTATCAGAGATTTATTTATATTTTAAGTAATCGCGCACGGTATAAATCGTTATTATCTCAATGGTCGGACTTATTTCTGTTAGAATTTTAACAAATTGTCCTTATGTAAAGATAAGCACACACACTGCGGTCCACATAGGAATGACAGCGAATACTCATTTCAATAAAAATGAGATCAAGATGTGCTTACAACGCAACTGATATAATACTAATACAGAAAGATTTACAATATCACATGATAGATTTCTTAAAAAGAAAATACAATTGCAAACTCACGAATGATCCTCTTTGCATCAAGGAATAACATTCGTTAGCTTAAAAATATGAAATTTCTCGATTATCGTAAAATAGCTCTTTTAAAATTAAAATGTAGAAGACAATAATTAGTTTAAGCAACTTAAATTATTATATCGAGTATTTCAGCCCGAATTTCTCAAACTTACCACTTGTTTTTAAGCATGATGTTACATGGAACACTTAGAAATAGGCATGTTTTCCTATGAAAAAATTTCTAGCAGATAGAAGCCGATTGATTTCATTGTAAAATTTGATCATATATTCTCGGAATCATAATACTGTTGCATCTCGAATTAATTAGCTTAAAAAAAAAAAAACAAAAAATTTTTTACATAAATATATAAAAATCTTTTTGTGCTTTTTTTAAGCCAATTAATTTGTCTCATTATTCTGTGCAAAAAAGCATTAAGACAAGATAACCGAAAGAAGAATATTTTACGAGATATTTTGTATTCTATGTCAAAGTGCTGGAAATTTCAAGTGTTATTACTCGAAAAGTTCTTAACGAAAAAATATTTTATTATAGCGTTTTGGAAAGCTCTCGAGATGTGCTATAAGAATATGCAATGAAAAATGGGGTGTTCCATTTAAAAAAATTAATGTGACCTTGACCTGACCTTCGCTACGCAACCCAAGGTCAAACTGATGTGATCAGTAAATACATCTTTTTAAACGCCACAACTTTTATCTGAAACATTTTTTTCTAAAATGCTTAGTTTTCGAGATATTTCACGGTCCGGGACTTTTTGAACACCCTGTATATGAGTGGACATATATCGTACTCGAAGAAAGATAGAAGATGAGAAAATCAATTGCCAAGATAATGAGCCAACAAAAGGAGGTCGCCATTCCTACATTATTTCCCTGTTTTCAACAAAGAATATTTTGTACCAAGTTTGAGTATGGATTTCTGGATGAAACACTCGTCACATATTAACTAAAAACGTTACACCTAATTTTTTCGCAAGCACATCACACAACTATTAATAATTACTTGTAATTTCTTTTTTGCTTCACCATGCTAATTTATGGCCAACATTCTATGGATAACGTTATATGGCATCAGTTGTCAGACGAAAATAATACTGTTTGTGTTCTTTTTTATCTCGCCAATACACGCAGCCAATTACTAATATAACTAGTAAAAGTACTAACGTTATAGATAACACCAGTATTGCTGAAACAAAAGAATAGTAATAGTTAGAATTTGAAATGAGTGATTTAAGAGATACATACAGTCAGATGATTAAGATATTAAATAAATATTTTCTTGAGAAGTTTCGTAACGTATTTCAATATAGGAATTTGTTTTCTTAGTAATACTTAAGAGATACATTTTCTTATTAGATTGAAAAGTGTTGTTAATCAGTCGACTGTACACGTACAAAGTACATCGAATGTTACATGGAAAATCACTAATAAATTTAAGGCTCTGCTATCTCGCCGCAGAAAGTCTGAATTGACGGTGATGTCTAGCGGTGTCGAGAACATGAAATAACCGTGTCAACGTAGCTGATGGGCTAACACTAGGCTAAGCTCACTAGGCCTCGCTTGACACTTTGGAAAATTAGTTGCGTTTTATCGTGTTATTTTGCAGTTTCTCTGTGAAGTGTGTATATTATCGTGTTCGTCACAACTGTAAAATGTGCAGCAAACTTAGTGATACTGATGATATATTGAAAATCGAGAAATTAAATGTGTTCATACATGTTGATCTCAGCTGTCACAAACAACCGTGACAGTCAAAAAATGTAGCATTATTTCAGGAATTATTTTACGATATTACGTGATACATTAGCCAGATATCTAAGTTTGCTGTATTTTTTACAAGTTTCAGGATTAGGAAAATATTTGATTCTTCACGGAAAAGTAAAAAATAAAGCAATAAAACGCAACTAATTTTCAATATGTCATTTCTCGCTTCTGACGTCATCAAACTAATATGGCCGCCCTAGAAATAGCAGAGCCTTAATGCATATGTGTACGCGCGTATGCACATACGCATAAAGTGCAGTATAAAAATGAATAATTACTGATAGCCACTGCCGTGTTTAGATTGTACTCGTATTTTCCTGTATTTAATAGACATTCTCTTTCCCAGTCCTCAGGTACAATGTCTTTAGTCAAAGTAATAAAATCTTCTAAAGGGCACAACATAGTACAGCCCGGTAACGTCATAACTATCGGTTCTTCGGTACTATTCTTGTACGAAACCTGCGAATAAAGAAAAGAATACATATAAATGTATGTATCTTATTATTAGATATTAGATATTACATACATATGTATACAATTTCATATGAATGAAATATTTCAATATATGAATATTAAGCGAAACACCTACCGTTACAAAATACTGATTTTTGGGGTTTATTCTTAACTCTATCAGGACCGTAGCAACATAAGGTGGACAGTGCGGTTCGAATAATTTCAGGGCCATTAGCAAATTCGCAATAGTTTGATCATGAGCACTGTACATCCATATTTTTCTATCAGGTTTCAACATCTTCTGCGATTTCTTGATCATGTGATCTATCATTTCCCCAAGTAATGGACCTGATAGCATATTTTCATAATTAAGAACCAGATAAACAAAGACCACATAATGGTATTAATAAATTGCCTAATTACCCGGCTTTAATCTTTGAAGTATTTTGTTGTATGCATCAGTCGTAAAACTGAGTTCAGCAAGAGGCTTCAGCTTGTCTGGGAATACCGATGTTGTCCACTGCGGTAGAGTTTTGTTGTATAAATTCTAAAAGATAAATTAAGCTTCATTATATTTTTATCTTTTCCTTTTAGACAAAGTCAGCGGATACGTTACAATCGTTATTGTTTTCAAGATCAATAAATACCATTGCCAGATCAAAATCGTGCTATTGATTTCGATTGTGGCAAGCAACACGCTTATCAAAAAGGCTACGTACTTCAATATACAAGGTATTGTATAAGTGTTCGACATCTTCTAGCGTAGAAATTTTGAGTCCAGTGTTCTTGGATAAATAGCTGTAGAGCTTTGCATTCGCATTATTTATTCGTTGCCTTTCAGGTGATCGTAAGACCTTTTCTAGCTCGTATTTGTATCGCGCGCAGTACTTCTTGCCGCTTAATACGTAATCTTGGTCCTCTGGAATGGTATGTATCGGGATTGGCATCCACTTAATGCGGTCCCAAATTTGGTCCTTTGTTGGTGGATAAAGTCCCGCTAGATTCGCTTCAGCCGACATCAACGTGCGATCTACGTCAGTGCTATGCACGTAGATATCGTATCGTGTGTAAGTAGCGGACAGAAGATAGGAATATCGTTTTCGTAACCAACGACCGAGAAGCAATTGTTGGTGTTTACCAAGCTGTATTTCATAAAACATCAAATGTCAATACAATTAGTGCAAAAAATGGAAAGGTTTTAAATTTATATGTAAGAGAGATTTTAAATTTATACCCAGATAGCCAAACCTGCGCGAACAGATTTCGTGCAGAGCTTGCTATCAACTTTTGATGGCAAATAGATACCAAATTTGATACAGGATTTGTTGTATCAAATCTTGCTGTCAAATTGTCGCCAGATATGCGGCAGAACTTGTTGTCGGATAATTGCTGCAGATTTGCAGCAAAAACCGCGCAGAGCTTGTAGCGATTTGATGGCAGATTGGCAGCAGAAACCGCGCAAACCTTGCTGCGCTGCAAGCTTTGCGCGGTTTTTGCTGCAAATTTGGCACCAATTGTCCGACAGTAAGATCTGTCACCAAAACCGTAGCCTAATGTAAATACAGATGGCTATGGTTTTGCTGTGGGTTTTTGATCAAATTTGCTGTCAATCTGCGCGCAGTCTGCACTCAATTTGCTTACTGGGTATGTAAGAACAAATTATTTTCACAAATTTATCTTATATATTCTGCTGCATCTTTAAAAAAAATTATTTCCATGATTTTTCTTGTTAAATTTACACTGATTATATAATCTGTTCTTTTGCCTCATTATAGCTGATGCCAAATATTTAAATGCTGTGCCAACTCAGATGTATTAAATTTCACAGTACACTTAAGAATGTAAAAAAAGTATTTGCAATATCATAAAATATCTTTGTTCTGCATAAAGCTGACTACAATAAACCAGCTTTATACTTGCATTGATTATAGTTAAAATTTCAATAATGCATACATACATTTGTTAATTCTCCATATGGAACTGGCCAGAAAGTTTCATTGTGGTAAGGGTCAGTAGGGTAAGGAGAGATAGGAGTTCTGTCACCGTGTCTGTATAACTGTAAGATAATGTTCATTTCATGAGTAAATTTTATGAGCGACCGTGCATGTGCAAATTGTTAATGTGTCGCAATGAAAGATAAGAATGTTTGCATCTACTTGAAATTCCAAGATAAGAGACTTCGGAAAATATAAAATAGACAACGAAGAACCAGCATTCGTAATGACAACGTGAATATTATTTATAAATAAATAGGAATTTGATTGTTTCGCGCTTACAAGATTCGCGAAAACGATTGTGCCCAAGTCGAGGTCTTTGGTGGTGGAGTGGCTCGCAGCAAAAATACTCGTGAACACAAGTAACACTCTGGTATCCATCGTGTAGAATTTCCTTTCACTTTGTTGTCGGTGTTCGCGATTTTCCAGCGATTCGCGAGCAATAATCTCACGTGGAGCTTACACGTGACATTGGTGAGTGAACCTTGAACGAAAGAGGAACGATGATTATGATTCACAGAGGATCCCGTCGCACGGTATCATTTTACGACCACGGACGATGTAACCTCCATGCCAGACCGTACGCTCTTACTCGAAGAGCGCGCAGCTATGCCATATTTTTACGAATGTTAGCATGGCTGCTAGGTGGAGGGACAAAATTCGTAGCGAGCAGGCGCTATTGGTTCCCGATGTCAACTGAATTTTAAAGATCAATAACAGTGACATCAGATGATAATTTTAATCGTTTGCAACATTAACGCTATAAATTACTGTGACCGCAACATTTTTGCGGTTTTTGCACTTCGAATTTTCGAGGACACACTATTAAATTTAAAAACTGTATAATTTAACTGATTTAAACTTTTGGATTTAATTCATTTGGATGGCAAAGTAAAAAGGTATGTTCTTTTTAGCTGAACTGATACAATAAGTTAAAGCAAGACAAATATATTTTATTTCACTCTAATTTATTGCATCAGTTCAGGCAGTTTAACTAAAAAGAACAAACCTAAAATTTGAATTTAAAAATTAGGCTTTGGCATTTTTCTACACGTAATACGCGTGCATATACACGTAAAACGAAAATTATCAAGAACAAAATAATTAAATAGTTAATATTTATTGATTTAAACCTAAAAGATACAATGAGAACGTCCTATTTACAACGGCTCATCTTAAACACGTGTATAAACGTGACTTGCTACTCGTAGAAAGGTCTAAGTCCTTTTAACTATACTTTCTACGTTCTCATTCTCTTTCTCACTCTTTACTTTCTCTTTACAGGAAAAACATGTAGAACCAAGAGCAGTGGGGCGATGCTCTTACCACATCACAAGGAAACCTATCCGGTACAACGATTCCTGCTTAAAGGCGAGAGAAGTTAGTATGAAATGCAACTGACAATAATTACAAACTCTTGTATTTTCACATTTCACCTATGTACAGAAAATCCATCACAATCATCCGCTAGATAAAAATTTAAATTGCAATGAATGTAAAAATTTCGTACCGTTAATTACGATGTTGTTGTCACTGTAATGCTGGTACATATACATTTTAAAGTCCCTTCTTATATATAAACCCGCATTACACATATAATATATATAACAGTAACTATCATGTATGCTTATGTGTACAAAAAAATTTACTTTTTACCTGTGTGTTTATATTACAATTTACGAATATACAACTATTTATATATTACATACAATTTCACCAAACCATTGAACTATATCATTGCATTTTACATAGTTTATTCCAAAAGTCGCACACTTTCTCCAAAATATAGAAAGATCGTGTAATTAATTGAAAAATTATCGAGCTTGAAAATTGCTAGTAATTAAAAAAAGATATTGATGAATGTCAAGTCAATGAAATTTATAATCGTAGAATTTTAAGGTCAACCTAGTGCGACTATAGATTAAAACGACATCGAACTTTCGCTGTATGAATCGAAAGAGTCATCAGTTCAGCAGACAATCTGCAATCGGGAGAAAGTGCGTGACCTCTTAAACAGGCCACATATGCAAAAATATACAGAGATCGGCCTAGTTGCAATATTATCACAATTTACGTTTACAAACGTAATCGCAGATTGTATTGTTAGGGTAGCGAATTGCTTCCTATAGGAGATGCAAAATCGGAAAGATCTCTGTATACTTTCAACTCAAAATCAGTAACCTGCTCAATAAAAATAGGTTCTTAGCTGCATGGGCATAGTAACCGTAGGATCACAGTCTTCGTTGGCGATAGCGCTGCGTGGTATTGATCAGCAGATGAGCGAGGAATGGCCACATGATTAGAATGGCGAATAACCGCGGCGAGCATTCGTGGAACGGCCACCAACTCGGATATGCGCGTTTAGCGGCGTACTCCTGAAAAAAAGAAGAGGTACGAATATAATTTCAACATTTCCGTACAAATTTATTCTTATTCTATTTCTAGACTTTATTGAATATCGCATATATGTATATCGTATTTTTTATCGAAATTTTTATTGAAAGAATATATTGAGACGTACACTTTGTGGCGCTAGCGCTTGCAAGGCTTGCCCTTCTAAACTCCGTACTCTGGTCGTTACTCTATCCAGATCTCTCTGTAGATGCTGTACAGTCGTGGCGATTTGATTGAGGAACTCCGCGTTGAACTTGTCGTCTTTCTTTGTTCTTTGTCTACCTCTTTCTCGTTTACTGTCCGATGTCGCGTCCACCGCGTGACCGTTAGCGTTACTGTATCCATTCGTTAATTCAGTGCTCTCCTTCACTACATTCTCTGTATTCGAATTATCAATTCCGTTATTTGCCGTGGTTTGTACCTTTTGAGGACAAGTAGAAGATTTTAATGCATCTTTCTGCGATCTCTCCGGCGCAGACTGCAATAAAATTGAATTGTTTTGCTTCATAAGATTAGAGGATAGCTGATCTAATATAATTTACATCGTAATAAAATTAAGTTATCTTGTTCTGCGGAGTAACGGAACAACAAAGTCGTATAATGTTAATACATACTTCAACAGTATCTATAAACTCCTCTTCTTCGCCATCAGTATCTTGTGGTAATGGGCTCGCGGTGCGACTACTGGTTGGGCTAGTTTCCAAACTGCTCGTTATATGTCGTGAAGCGTTGCAAACTCTATGAGGTGACGTTTCTCTGGATGCTAATGAATGAAAGAGAAAAATTCAATCAACAGAGCTCATAGCCAGAGAAAGAGATACAAAATAATATTCACGTGGACATATGTATGTTTCTTAATTATTAAATTTGATACGTAGACACCGTTATCGATATTGATAACTTTTGTAATAAACAACACTGTCGAGTGGCTACATTACAGAGATAAAAGCGCTGAAGCTTTAACGATAAGATTACACAAGCTAGTTTATAATTAAGATATAAGAATATTTCGTCATGTGTAGAAAAGAAGGAAAACAAACCTAACGGGGAACCAGATAATGGTGATCCCGGTTGGGAGCGCATGCGCTCCAATACTGGCCCAACAAGTAATTCCAAATCCTCACTCGGCACACTCTCGTAAAATGAGTCCAAACTGCCGAGAAAAGTCGCCACATTGTCCGTGTAAGACATAGTCTCGACGATCTGTAAAGTGACGACCTTTTTATTTGATACATCCGACACGCGCGTTTGTTTGCAAAAAAAGCTATGAGACACGTACTCTTTTTAATTCTTCCACGTAATTGTTCATGGCTTCTGTGCGACTCATATTACCGAGACGTGTCCAGGCGTCCCATTTTGCTTTCTTCACCACCTCCCAAAATGCAGGTTTCCCTTGTTGACAAGGCCCCTCGGTTGCTTGTTTGTAGTATGAGTAAAATCGTAGCATAATCTCGTGGCTAGGCTGGTACGCTCCTGAAACGTTATCCTATTCATTAACAATGCATAATTCTATGTGCAAAGCTCAAAGTGCGTTTACTACATGTTTTTTACTGCAGAATTACATATTCAAGAGCGGAGAGAGATCTTAACGTCCAAGCAGAACTGAGCGAAGAAATAATTTCAATCACGTTTTTTATAATTCGTCGATACACTAAGACTTGTGACAACATCGATGCGATATAATATTGATACTTTATTTCTTAAAACTTAGCACCGATTGTAATTTATATTTCACGCAAGATTATGCAAATTGCGCGCTATTTTTTATTTGACAATGATTTTCTTCATATATCCTCAACGATGTTTACTACATTTTCAACTGTGTGCAGTGGGAAAATTTTGTAATTGTAATCTTGATAGAATTTACAGTTCTAGAAAGCGAGGTTGTAGAATGTGGTTGTTGTAGCCACAATAATCACAGTTATTACAGTGGCTGTTGTGAAAGTGAATTATTTTCCATCGACTTGAATCGGGTTTAACAATGTGCTTTATCATGCAACTAATAGATGCTGCTAATGAATACTCACGCGTGTTTGCATTATTTACGCGTGTGATACAAACATTCAAAATATTGCGGGCAAAACGTAAGGAGGAAAAAGGAAGAGAACTTCGCTCAATAAATTCCGGTTAATGCATCGATTCGGGGGTTAATTAAAGTGCTCGTTAACAGAGTTTCATAATTGCTAGCGCAACGCGAGTGATTTGTGTGACCAGTGAAGAGGAACATTCCAGTTTCAGCCACAAAGCATGGTTCAGCTAGACTTGCGCCGTTAGAAAGTAAAGTGGGAGTAATACAGTCACTTGGCCATATGAAATGACTGGAAAGTATACTTATACGCTATATTCGACATCAAGGCCAAATATATTTGTACGCGAATTCACGATGAAAGACAATCGTAATAGAAGATAATAAGATAATAGAAGGCCGTTAACCTCTTCTAAGTTTTTTTTTCATAAAAACAGTCGCACAGTTTTTGCATATTGTGCTGTTTTTAATGGTCATAAGAAATTTATGACCATACGAAATGACTGAAAAGTATGTGTAATATTCGGCGTCAAGGCCAAATGGTAAGAAAAAAGGAAGTAAATGTTTAAATGATGTCTTAGGAATAAAATAGGCAATTAATTAAAACAATTTATATTGACCTTATAGTATATGTACACAGTTATCTCGATTAAAGTTACATATATTTATATACGAGTTTGCGACAGCAAGACGATTGTAAAAAAAGATAATAACGGACGTCGATACGATCATTATTCTTATATAAGAACTCATTGTCGCAAATATATTATCGCTTTTTTCTTTTTTTTTTTTAATATGCATTGAAATTGCATCCTTAATGTTTTTTTACTTTTATACGGCAATACTTAAAGCAATGACGCATATCAGATGAATCGGTTTCTCAGTATAATTTTAAAATACGACAGATACGATTAGCAATCGCGCAACCGGTTTAAAGGTTGAAAAGTTCTTTTTCTATAAAGTTTTCGTAACTCTTCGTGCGGCGATACACGCGCAATCCGAGTAATCATTGTATCCTTCCTCATGCGCTTTTTCCGCGCACGAGGAAGTCGTGCATTGTGTATGTGTGTGTGTACGCCTAGATTCGTAGATTGAATTTTTAATATCGCTTTCAACGCCGCCGGTGAGAAGTTCGCATTCACTTTCTTTCCTGGACTCGCGCGATTCGATCTCGCGAATTTCTCTGCACGGTTGTTGGTGCGAATTATCGTGCACGCAAAATCCGTTCTTATTTCCCATAAGAAACGATGGAAAAGTACAGAAGGACGGTTCGTAAAGTTTCGAAAGCGCATGACACCGTCGAGATGATCGCGACGCTTCCGTTGTCCTTCGAGTGGTTTTTAGGTCAAGATTGGAAAACATGAGCGGGTATACCCGAAGCGAACACTGCGGATTCGAGGGAAGGTCAATATCCGCCGCATCACAGCAAGCACAGCACAACGAAAACCTCAAAGTGTTAATCACGAACCGTGAATAAATACACGGACACTCATCCTAATGCATTATACATAGTATCATCGAGGATACAAGCGAAATTACATGCTGTCGCGGCGCTGGCTTTTGAACGTCTCTTTTTCGCGAGAGACTCGACGTTGTTCCGGGGCGTCAGCGGGGAACGATGACGACGACAAACATCAGCTCGTGGACTTTAGTCAACGCGCAATAATGCACCGTCGGTGCATGCGGCCGAAAGGAAGAGAGGCTGGAAAGGAAATGAAATCAACAAAGAGGGAAAGCTAAAAGCGATCGCGTAATATCGCCGCGCCGCCGCTGCTGATATCGGTCGTCGAGTGCGAGAGTGAACGACACGGTGAACCATAGGTGGATAGACAAGTAAAAGTTGCACGATAAATAGATAGGTAGATTAGGTAAAGGTTGTCTCCCCTCTAAGGATCGCCGTGTGAGACGAACCCGGTCGCGATTACGCGCTATTCGCCGACAAAAATACGGACGTTCGCGAAAGCGATATTTACTTACCATTTTTCGGCAGGTTCCTGATCACGTTGACGGCGGCGTTGAATTTCTCCTCCGTCGTCATGTTCCCCTCGCGAACGAACGGGCCGACGGCCAGTTGTTATTACTTTCGCGATAAGGTGCGTCTCTGGCGAGGAACTCGTACAGCTCCTCTCTTGTTCTCCGCTCGTGAACGCGGTGAAAACACACCGCGACGGGAAGAGACTCGCGCGACGAAACGTACTCAGTCAACGGCAATCAACGACTACCACCGACTACACTGACGGCGACTACTCCACCTAGAGAATCGAATCATCGAACTGTTACCAACTTGCGCGAAATTCCCCGCCAGCCTTGAGTCAACTGACGTTGCTGAGACGATTATCATTTAATCGTTCAAATATGCAATACGTGTCGGTCACGACCCTGGAAAACAACTGACGGCGACCCCACGACGATGACTGACAGATTTCAACAAATTTATCGCCGCGAGCCCACCGAGGCGATTGGCGATAGTCTCCGTGCGGTACTTCGCTCGCACGCATGCGCGAGGCTAATTCAAATCGTTTCTTTATTCTCTCTCTCTCTCTCTCTCTCTCTCTCTCTCTCTCTCTTTCTCTTTCTCAATAAATATGGCTCCAGGCGACTTATTCACTCTTTCAGTGCTCAGTGCTCAATATTGGTTCCAGGGATTAAACATAAAAACCCCAACACTATTACCAATTATTCACTCTTTCATTATACTAAATGAAATTACGATTTCGAGTTACGATTTTCGAGTTACGATCATTTGCGAGTTATGATCTCGGCGTTTTCGAGTGAGAGTTTGCGATTACTCTCGAGCCACGAGCTGCGACTTGGCCGTACAAATTATATGGAATGTAACGAAAATTTTTGTCGAAATTGGAATTTCGAATGTAATCTATGTTGGAAAAATTTTATATGCGCCGGAAAATATATTTCAAACGGTGCAAAATATGTTCAGCAAAATCCATAGAATAAAGAATCACAGAGATCGCATTCAATTAATTGCACTTTTGCACTTTCTCTCCTCTTTCTTCTTCTTCTACCACAGCCTAATATATATACATACTTTTATATATATATATATATATATATATATATATATATATATATATATACATGTATGTTTACCTCATCTTAAACTTGCAAGAAAGTATATTTACGCTATTTATATTGACCTCCTTTCTGTATAAAGTTCATTCGATATTTCCGCTTTTCACTCTTTATATCGCTCTATCTCTTTCTCCCCTCTTCTAAGTATATGTATGTGTATCTTTTTCACTTTAAGTGTAGATAGTGCAAAAACAAACCTATAGGTGATGCAGTCGCGTTGCCTATGAAAGAGTTCGCGTCAATATATACAGATGTTCGTTTAGTTCTACAAATTGTTCAACAGTGAGTACAGTGTAAGACTTTATTTGCTAATGAGCCTTATTTTCCAAAATGATATCTGTTCGATATATATTTCTAACATATATCTTCCCCTTTTGCAGGTATAATTGTTGAGGCTGCAAGATGACTTCGTTCGGTCGTGGTCGTGGATGGTATCTTCAGAACAGAGAGCAGGATCTTCGTAGACCAGGAAGTATATCTTGTACCAATGATGTTGTCAAAGACATATTAGAAAAATTAAGCAGCTATGAACAAGTTACGCCACAGTTGATTCAAGAGATCACAGATCTGATAACTAGTCCAACCAACAAGGAAAGCCTCAGGTATTATATAGGTTTGTCTTATGACAATTGTTTTATTGCTTTTTAATGTAACATTTCATATGTTAGAGAGACATGTAATATGCTTTTGAAACAATCCATACTCAACAACTCCTTTACTACAAAGCTAGCGATGATATTTAGTGACAACAAAGTCGCTTTCATAAAAGATTCAAATAATGAAATTATACGAAATCATTTATTACGTTTTCTGCAAGATAATTATATGTGTAAGTATCATGAGAGGTTTTCTTGACTGTTTTCTTTAGTATTGATATCGTGCTATATATATGTCATCTTTTTAGCTAGAGAAAAAAATCGAATGGAGGATAAAAAGATATTTGCGAATATAGTTTTACTTCATGCAGAAGTTTATTATAACATGAGGCTGAATAATGGTAATAGATTGAAAATATTAGCTAGACCTTTAGTTCGTTATTTAGAAGATCTAATACAAAATAGTGTTGAAGATAATATTGACTTTATCATGATACAGGTAAGCTATTCTACATGTATAAGTACAAAAAATGGTGTGTATAAAGATGTAAAGATATTTCTCTTTTAGCTACTCAGATCTGGTCAAGATCTTTGGGCAGCAGGTCCAAAACAATTGGAGGAATTTTTGATGATAATTAGGCAAGCATTATTAAAAGAGAACAGTGATAATTCTCGAAATCGTGCAGTGTTATTGTTATTAATCGATTTAGCCTATAACAACTATGAAATTAAAGATACACATCTAAAAGAATTTTATACTTCAAACATTAAATCGCTCATTTTCGACTATCCATTTTATAAGGAGGAATTCAAAGTAGGCCCAGAGACAGAGACAAAGATTGGAAATGGTAATAATAACTAACGAAGTATTAAGAGATGTTGCTATGTTATAAGAATAAAAGTTTTAGATAACAATCCACCAGGGAACTTGCAACAAGTCGATAACGTGCCTTCACATCAAATTTCAAAAGAAGAGGCCAATGAAGTATGTAACAAACAAAGTCACTCGAAAGGTCTTCATATTCCAAGGGCGATACGTGGAACAGGTGGATTAGATACTAAAAGAGAGGATGATGTTAACACAAAGTTGAGCTCTATGAAGATCACGTCAAGGCAAAAGAATGCTGATTTCTGGGATCATGACGATAGATTTCACAAAGATTACGAATAGTGTGGAAGGTAAAGATTTATTTCAGTTTGAGTAAAATCCATATATATCTGTATGTAAAGATCATCTTTTTCGAGCGTTTATAAAACTCTTTATATGATATTCTTATTACATTGCAGAAGTAATAACTAGTGTAATGAAACATATGAATTTTATTAACTGGTATTAATGAATAAGTATAAGTAACCAAAAAAGAAATCTATGAAAGATCATTGATAAATATGTGAAAGTGATTAAATATGAAACAGCAAAAAGACATAACGGATCTGTTCTTTTAACTGTACTTATTCCTAAATTCGCTTCTCTCTCTCTTTTTTTGTATTCTCGATTCTTTATTACGTATACTACTTTTGAATACAGGAAGCGTACAGTTAATAAAAGATATGTAGACATACTCTGAGTGTAACATAATTGTTATTTTTTTCAACACTGCTGTTTTGATATTTGATCGAAATTTTCAAATGCGATTTTCATATTTTATAAAAACCATATCGCTGCTAAAATATTCATTCACGAGACGTAAGAGAGAGTAAGTTTTACTGTCAAATTATATTTATAAATGTCACATTCTAGCAAAACAAAATTTTAAAATCTACTACAGCTATATCACCTACTACAATTAATTTGAGTTTTCTTTTTGTTTTTAATATGTGCTAAGTTGGATCAACCTTTCTCCAGGATTTTAATAATTAAAAGAAGTTTGCAATTTACTCTTTCTACTCAAAGCATTAGTATAGAACTTAACGAAATTAAAAATTACATTCAAGGTATGATGTTTATATGAATTTATATATATTTTTTTTTCATTTTGATGTATCAACAGAATTATTTAGAAAAGATATGACTTTGATGTATCAATAGAATTATTTAGAAAAGATATGACTGTAATGTGCGATTATGTCGATTTTTTTATTAATAATATAATGTATTAATTCTGTTATATTTTTATTGCGATATAACATCGCAATTTATGTATACAGATCAACATAAGATGTCTTATGCTGTACAATATTATGCATAATATACAAGTAAATAAATTTCAGTACAATTCATTATCCATCGTTCAAGTTTCCCGCCTGAACTCACCTGTATTACCGCTGTTGTCACGTCATCTTCCCGTCTGAAGTTAGGTAATTTTACATCGAACCGCGCATCATGATTCAGAGTTGCCCTGACGACTCCTAGCCGTAAATGCGTACCGTATGTAACAGGTAGAACGCAAGGTAAATAACATGATCATATGATACAAAAGTTTACCAATAAAAATATAGGTTTGAATAAAAATGAGAAGAAACAGAATTTTGACAATGAGAATATTTGGCCGACAGAAAGGACGAACCGGATGTTCGATTCGCGCCGAGCCAGGATTCCTTCCCTCCTCCATTTCTCTTCGAGATTCGATTTCGGCAACATGTCCGCGAATTAATTGACGCCAAAGTATACGCGAATTTAAACTTTCATTGTGAATCGCGCGTTTCGTGTCATATTACGAATCGTGCGCGAGCACCGGTACCGCGAGTTGTACTTTCGTCGTAATCTGTGAGTATACTTCGATTCACTTGCGTTTGTCCGTAAATCGTCTGCGAATTCACGAGTGTTTTGTACGCAATTTCTGACGACGCTGTCGACATGACCCGCGACTTAATCGTGCAATAGCGTTTTACTGATTTTTAAATGCGATTAAATATTGAATATCGCTGAATCTCTGCTCACTAGTTGTATTGCTACAACGACATTAATTAGTCATCGCGATTGTAAACGTTATTCTTGGTAGGTCCTAAACAGAGAACATCTTGCGCCACATGCCATCGTTGTTCTTTTAGGTCGCTTACGTGTGTACAAACATTGCCGCATAATCTTGTTTAACACGATTTACTGAGGACACAACGCGTCAAATAAAATACGACTGGCAAACAAAGGTGCGTTTCGTTCAGAGCAGCTAGAGGAAGATCGCTGTTTCGTGAACATATGCGAGAATTCACGTGAGAGAAAAGAAGTTAGATAAGAGAGATAAGAGAGCAAAATGAAATAATTTATAAATTTGTGAACTGTTCGTACATGTCGCATTCTTAATTATACTCGATAATGTATATTGCTGTACTCGATATTGGTGTAAAATTGATACTGGGTTAATGTGATGATACAATGATTTCAGCAGTGTGTCACATTGTCTAGCTCGAGCATACAACATTGTTGTTTCTTTTATCAATGAAACCTGATCTGACATGTCTTACACTGAACTGGAACATGGTTACCAGGTAAGCAAGATTACAACAGTGCGATACATACAAAAAAAGTCATGATGTGTCAAGGTTCTTACAAAATTTTTCTTACAGGGTCTCAAGAATGCAAGCAGACCAATGTTCTACATAGGAGATATAAATACAGTACAACCACCCATAGTAGGTGCTGTTATACCTTCCATCTATCGTTCGTCTAAAAGGGTGAGTCTGTATTTTATTGTCAAATTTGATTGCAAGCAGAATTCATGCATGTCCAGGGGAATAATACAATGCAAACTTTGGAAATGTATCCTCTATTTTTAATTAAAGCATATACTACATGTAATATTTTATAGATGTAAAACAAATATTTTCAGCTCAGTTATATTCATAATTGTTACAATTGATTTGTATCTGATAATCTATCACAAATAGCATTAGATAAATATAGAGTTTGGAATTTACACACTTTTATGTTTTGTGTTTACAAAAGTGCCACTTTGTATTCATCTGCAAGATACTGAAATTGATAATTTGGAGGTTAGAAATGTAGTAGAAATATATGTTATGTATGTGTGGTTTACATGGTATGTAGATATATTTTCTGTATTTAAAAATATAAATGATCAACCAATGTTTATTTACAGTATTCTCGCGTTTCTAAAACGACAGTAGTAGTTATGATTCATAAAAAGTTGTTAAATAACTACTTAAAGAATTCTTGCTAAAACATTACTTAAATATTAATGCTTAAGTGACTCAAAGCATATATCCTTATATAAAAAGTTTTAAAAAAATCAAGTCAATCGTAGGCATTATTTGCAGTATATATATTTTAGGTTAATAAGCGTTTCTATCTATGGAATGTGTGAATGTAATCGCTGTAAACATAAATCTTGAGTCTTCATGATGTTTGGGCAGACAGGAATTTACCTAATTGAAATTATAAGGCAAAGTATTCGAGCACGAATGGTATATATGCATATGACATACAAATTAATATTAAATTTTACAGTGAGCATGTAGAGTGTAGAGATTGTCCACTGTGTGTGTTTAGAGATTAAATGAAGATAAAAATAATGCTAGTTATACTGATAGTAACTAATATCAACAGAATTATATCTAATTACTTAGGCTGGTAACAATGTGACAACTTTGTAAAGTTTGTTCTATTACGTAGAATATATTTATTATATATTATTCCATAACAGTGCATGAAAATCAAATCTTGGTTAAACATTTCATCTTATTGGATATTAAATTTTATATTCTATTAGAACACTAGTATCACATAGTCTCATATTATTTTGAGGTTTTTAAGCATGCTATCCAATATCTGAGTTTTACTATGATAGTTACAATAATAACCTTGAATGCCACTAAAGAGTAGGATTGATATTTTGTCTTTTTTTTATCTCCTTATCACTATTGTAGAGTCTTTAAGTAATATCAACTAAATTTAGTGCTTGTTATCAGGCAAATATACTGTCAGTACAATAGATATTTAAATTTTAGTATGGATACATGAGAATAATATCTAATCTCAAGGTAGAAGTATATGTTTGTGATGATATGTGTACTATGTAATACTGTAATGTATTTCTAATTAACTCTGTACATTATCTTATGTAATCGTATCATAGGCGATATATGTTCAGTAATATGTATGAAACATATATTTAATTGGTCACAGAACTAACAATTGATTAAAATGTAATAGAAAGAATATTTCAAGAATTCTCATGAGGCTACACATATATAATGAAAGTTTTAAGTTATAAATTTTAATGTGTTAGTTGTGGAAACTACATCTATGGAAAATATTACAAGTTAAAAAAAATAATAAAGAAAAAATATTACTAAATTTTTCGTGATAGCTTATCAGATACTTAATCACAAAAACATCCTACAAATTTTTAACTAGAAATAGGGTATTTCTTTCATTTACTTACCATACAGTTATTACAAGTTAATAAAATGATTAAATAGGTTTTATTACATTTTATTTCTTCAGCTTGTAATCTTTATTTTCTTATAACAATTTTTCGGTTCTTTTATTACAGTGGTTAGGAAAATTTCATTTTCCTTGGCTTGTTCGTTTAACTTGTCAGCTGCATGACTGATATCATACTTCTCATATATTTTCGGATTGTAGTGAAAAATAATAAAAGTATACAGGAAAAGAGAATGTGGAAATGAGAATGTGTAGATGAGAATTTATGCTGAATCACAAATTCAAAGAGAGACTGAGTGAAGTCTCATTTTCAAACTCATATGTTTTCACGCTTTGTTGCTTGATACGTATTACCTTTCTATGTAGGCGATAACGTATGCGATCAACGTATAACTTACTTATCGAAAGCTCAAGCTAAAGAGTATAATGAGTAATCATACAAGGGTTTGCAATGAAAATTGCCCTGAAAGAAATGCCGACGACAAGCCCAGATTTCTGTCCTGCCTTAAGGCATACTGGGTGAGCACTACTTAGCTTGGAGATTTTATGATCTTCTCTCATCGCTGCTTATTACATATCGGAGTGTAGAAACTGCATATTCATTTATAATATAAGAATATAAAGCTGTAAACTTCTCTGTACTTTTTAAAAATTGGGTTATCATTAATTTCTCAGAAGAAAAGGCGTGCGTGGTAGTGAATTTAATTTCAAAATCTATGTTTATCTTATAATTATTTGTTACTTGTTATATATATATGTATAAAAAAAATATTAAGTGTCATCATGTATGATGTATGATCTTGCACACGCACAACAATGTACATCTTCTGGAGCAATTGTTGTTTATCACCTATTTTATCTTCTAGCCTGAACTGTCAGAAGGGTGCAGCAACGATGATGCTTATATGGGCGGCAGCGACGTGGAAGGGGAGGGAAAACAAGTCTTGGTTGGGGTATGCGCGATGGCGAAGAAATCGCAGAGTAAACCGATGAAAGAAATTTTAACAAGGCTCGAGGAATTTGAATATATCAAAATTGTTGTGTTTCCGGAAGATGTGATACTAAAGGTAGTACATTCCTTTTACGCTCTTGTGCTCTAACGCTTTCAAATTTTTATTTTATATATATTTTTTTCATTGTTTTCGCTTGGTTACAGGAACCCGTGGAAGATTGGCCTGTAGTTGACTGCTTGATAAGTTTCCACAGTAAAGGCTTCCCACTCGATAAGGCTATAAACTATGCGAATTTACGTAATCCATTTATCATTAATAATCTTCCGATGCAATATGATATCCAGGTAGAGAGATCGTTGATATTACAGATGTTACTATCTTTTTTCCTCATAAATCATATGTAAACAAGAATGATTATTCATACAGGATCGCAGGAGAGTTTATGCCATACTGGAGAGCGAAGGTATCGAGATTCCACGGTACGCCGTTCTCGACAGGGACTCACCAGATCCGAAACGTAAGTAAAATTCATTTGTTGCGTTGTAAAAAGCACCGTAAAAACACTCAGTTCACCACAATTTAATGTTCAATAGAATAACAACGGTGCACCTAGATAAGTTCAGAAAGCTCTTTTGTTGCATATTTAATCTTGACATATGCAGAATGCAGAATCTTTTTCAGATCATGAATTGGTGGAGTCGGAGGATCATGTGGAAGTGAATGGTATTACTTTTAACAAACCTTTTGTGGAAAAACCGGTGTCTGCTGAAGATCATAATATTTATATTTATTATCCCACCTCTGCGGGTGGAGGCAGTCAGAGATTATTTAGAAAGGTACATATAATAATCTTACATTCTAACAAATAAGATATAAAATGCTTTATACATGCAGGTTTAGAAATATAAATGTCCATGTATATTATTTTCTTACACAAAAAACCCAAACTTGCATACACTTATCGTATTTTTTCATTATACAGATAGGTAGTCGTAGTAGTGTATATTCTCCGGAGTCTCGTGTTCGTAAGACTGGTTCGTATATCTATGAAGATTTTATGCCTACCGATGGTACTGACGTTAAAGTTTATACCGTGGGACCTGACTATGCACATGCCGAGGCGAGAAAGAGTCCAGCTCTCGATGGCAAAGTCGAGAGAGACTCGGAGGGCAAAGAGATTCGTTATCCGGTGATATTGAGTAACGTCGAAAAACTTATTAGCAGAAAAGTATGTTTGGCCTTCAAGCAAACGGTGTGTGGTTTCGACTTGCTGAGGTAAAAATCGTTTAATGATATAATCTGTATTAACATGAATAATTATATATATAGGGAGAGGTCTACTTTCTTTTATAATAAGTTTATTTTAAACGGTAACACGCGTACACATGCTTCGTGTATTGCAAGAAATTTCTTATATGCAAAAAAGAAATTTCAAGTATTTAATCTATATATAATACGACGATGCGATGTGGCACGGTAATATATACGTTGAAGCATTCGTGATTGTGTCCGATGTGGTTATCGATGTTACTCTAGAGCGCATATCGTGTTACATATAACTGTACATGTAACCTTGATTCTTCCTGCGTCAACGTGAATCGACTAGTCAGGAAACGGGTTTGACACTAGTGTCTATCCGTGAATATATCGCGATTCGCGTGAGTGATTCGAGATTTATTATGTGATTGGTATAGCACGAATATTGTTTTATTTGTAGAGCGAATGGACAGTCGTTCGTATGCGATGTAAATGGATTTAGTTTTGTAAAGAATTCGAATAAGTATTACGATGACTGTGCCAAGATTCTGGGAAATATGATACTGAGGGAATTGGCTCCAACATTGCATATTCCATGGAGCGTGCCCTTTCAGTTGGATGATCCTCCCATCGTGCCAACTACATTTGGTAAAATGTTAGTACAATTGCAAGTTAGAATTCGCACAAGCGAAAATATCGCTATTTCGTATACATGATTTTTATTCGTTGTTCAAATTTAATATTAATTTAGGATGGAATTGCGCTGCGTTGTGGCGGTTATCAGACATGGCGACAGAACTCCAAAGCAAAAGATGAAAGTAGAAGTACGCCATCCGAAGTGAGTACAGAATATCCGGAAAATAGCGGTATTTTTATTGCACAAATTAAATATAAATATTACATCTCATAGATTCTTTGAGATATTTGCAAAGTACGATGGCTATAAACATGGTCATGTGAAGTTGAAGCGACCCAAGCAGTTACAGGAAATTCTCGATACGGCGCGTAGTCTACTGGCGGAAATACAGCACCGTGCAGCGGGACCCGAGCTGGAGGAAAAGCAAGGGAAACTGGAACAACTCAAGAGTGTGTTGGAAATGTGCGTGTCAAGGAGCAATTATAACGTGAATACAATTGCATAATTGTTATTAATCAACTATAAACTCACAATAAAATTATTAAATGTTTATCGTAGGTACGGACATTTCTCCGGTATAAATCGTAAGGTCCAAATGAAGTATCAACCTCGGGGACGACCTCGGGGAAGTTCTTCCGACGACGGTAACGATCTCAGTATGGCGTGTTCACTTTTTCACTATTTTACATGGCTGTCTAATAGCAGAAAGTCATGTAATATATTTCAACGTGTGTGTATCAGGACACGCGCCTCTCCACTCTTTTTTTTCTTCCAGATCGACTGGGCGAACCATCTCTCGTTTTGATATTGAAGTGGGGCGGTGAATTGACGCCGGCTGGACGTATTCAGGCGGAAGAGTTAGGACGCATATTCCGTTGCATGTACCCCGGTGGTCAAGGTAGACACCTTAGTGGTTCGTATCTTATGTTCATATGCTTGCCATGCTCGCTTTTAAGTTTCTTACACAACATTGAAGATCACTTCTACAGTAATTTATCCTCTGTTAGTGGAACTTTGTCTGGACTCGTCCGTAATACGTCTGGATTACCTAATTTGATCACTGTCTAGAAGCCTCTGCGGCTTTCAATTAACGTTATTGTTACTTGTATCAAGATTACCTTGCGAGATGCTGAGGAAACGTGCAAATTTTGGACGGCTTTAAGATCAACACATTGCGAGATCGAATTGCAATCTAATGCAATTGATTTGAATGTCTCATACTGTATCTTGTTAGAGACTCGAGAATTCTTGAAACGAGAGTAACTAATATTGAGTTGATCTATATGCGCGAATAAAACTGCCAGTGTAGCAAACCACTTTGGCACTAACGACTATATTGGCAATCATATCGTAATTAGTAGTTGGTAGTAAAATGCAGTAATTATGTACAGGAGTCGTATGTACAGGATAATTTATCGGTAATCTCAAATGTTATTTCAGAGGAAGAATCAGAGATGTTACCAAACCACGGTAACCTTTTATTTACGATCCACGCTTACTTCTTATAGTTCTCATAGTAGATTGTATTGCTGTTCTTAGAAATAGCGATGTTATAAAGACAACGGCGCAAACAGTAAGAGTACACTGAACACTTTGTAATTTCTCTTTATTTTTGAATGCTTCGTGCTGCCGCTCGATTCGGCGAGAAGTCGAGTTGTCGCAGCGTAAATGAGTGGCATGGTTTTTTATAGCACTGTATACGTACTACACACGCATATATATACATACACACGTGCGCACATCTCTCTCATCCATCTCTTGCTACATGCTTCTTTCTGCGTTTCGATGAATGTTTTTGTTAACTTAATTTTTATGGCACTACAAACACTACAGAAACACATTAAATGTTATTTTATCGTTTTCATACGAAAGACGTCGTGCACGTGCTGTACAATACAATACAGCAGATTGACGTGGAGAGGTAATCTTTTCGTTAAAACCGTAATCCCAGGAGCTACAAGGTAAATTCTAAATCATTCAAAGACATGAAAAGCTTCTTACGGTAATCCCTTACGTTTGCGGTAAGACGTTAATAACGTCGTTTAATGCAAGTAATAATGCATTTTTTATGACAATATATATCCCTAATGATCCTGATACGAGAACGTAGGTCATTCTGATAGCAGTTTTCCGAGTAACTTTTCGATTGTTTCATGTCGTTGTGTTCTATTACCGTTATCGTGTTTCTCGATGTACTTTTTCATCGTGTTGATACCACTTTCCTTGTATAAATATAGGTGAATATGCAGGTGCGCAAGGACTAGGCTTGTTACGCTTGCATTCCACATTTCGCCATGATTTGAAGATATACGCCAGTGACGAGGGACGTGTCCAGATGACCGCAGCGGCATTCGCAAAAGGATTACTCGCGTTGGAAGGAGAATTGACGCCCATCCTCGTGCAAATGGTGAAGAGCGCGAACACCAATGGTCTGCTGGACAACGACTGCGACAGTAGCAAATATCAAAACATGTAAGATCGTCGTTATTATTATTGTTAAGACGTTACATTAGATTAGAATTATCATTCAATACATTCAATATTTATTTTGATTGCAGGGTAAAGACCCGTTTGCATGAGCTACTGCAACAGAACAGAGAGTTCACTCGCGAAGATCGCGAGCAGATCAATCCAGGAAACGCGTTGAGCATTAACGCCGCTTTGGACTTCGTCAAGAATCCAGTCCGATGTTGTCAGCATGTCCACGCTTTGATTCAGAAGCTCCTGGACATCGTACGTATCAAGAAGGAAGATCTGAAGACGAAGGACGCGATACTCTATCATGGTGAAACTTGGGAGCTAATGGGACGTCGTTGGGGAAAAATAGAGAAGGATTTTTACACGAAGCAGAAGCGTTTCGACATATCTAAAATTCCCGACATTTACGACTGCATAAAGTACGATCTGCAGCACAATAATCATACATTACAGTTTGAGCACGCGGAGGAATTGTATACATATGCCAAATCTTTAGCGGACATAGTGATCCCTCAGGTACAATGCTTTTCTTTTTTATCCGTAATAATTCTTTAGCTTTCCTAGTTTCTTTTACATAAATTACATCATATTAATACACAGGAATACGGTTTGACGGTGCAAGAGAAACTGACCATTGGTCAAGGAATATGTACACCTTTGTTGAAAAAGATACGAGCCGACCTACAACGAAATATTGAAGAATCCGGAGAAGAGACAGTTAACAGGCTTAATCCAAGGTATAACAATTACCTATTTATAAAGAATGCAAATTCTCGCTTTTGTTTGTGATATATACAATTAATAATTTATAGATATTCCCACGGTGTTTCGAGTCCTGGACGTCATGTTCGTACGAGGTTGTATTTTACGAGCGAGAGTCATGTACATTCCTTACTTACCGTATTGCGTTACGGTGGTTTACTCGATGTAAGCGATTGTGTCTCACGTTGTGTTGAAGAGAAAAGACTATCTTGCGTTTCGTTTCGCTGATTTATAACGAATCAATTACAGGTGGTAAAAGATGAACAGTGGCGACGCGCGATGGAATACGTTAGTATGGTCTCAGAATTGAACTACATGTCGCAGATTGTCGTGATGTTATACGAAGATCCCACCAAGGACCCGAGCAGCGAAGAGCGTTTTCACGTCGAGTTACACTTCAGTCCTGGCGTCAACTGCTGCGTACAGAAGAACCTGCCGCCTGGACCTGGATTCAGGCCACATTCGCGCAATGAAAGCAGTCATAATATGGTAAGTGCAGATTCTACGTTAACCGGTAGATGCGCGTCGAAAGTAATACGGACAAATATATTTCATATTGGTTATTTTTTTTTAAGGGGGAGAGCGGTGGTTCCGGTCAGGATACTACGTCGCAGTGTAGTACTCGAATAGAGGAGGAAGACGCAGAATTAGGGATTATGGAGGATGACCTAGTGAATCCTGTGGTGCAAACCGTGAGTTACATTTTAGTCATTTTACGAAGCAGCATACGCGTGATTGCATTAGTGTAATTGAACTTTCGGTAACAAATGTATTAAAGTTATAAATAGTTTTGATCTCAATATTTTCTCAATGTAGTAAGTAAACAATACTTTCAGGACACGCCTCCGTCGCTAATGGAAACCGACGCTGTGGATTCTATGCTAGACAGCCCGACAACCAGTCGCGGGATCGATATGATGGATCTAGACCCGAACATGATGGACGAGCCGTACGATAGCGGCTTTCTACAGAGCTCGGCTCCGATTCCCATCAGGTTTGTTTAATTCGCTCACACCTGATTCTTTTGAAATGTTATTATTTGTGAAAACAATGCATTATCTAATTAATTATGTTTGCTAATAACGGTCCATCCGAACGCTGGTTCTTAGTGGTTTTATGTATTTCTTCCAGTTTTACGTGTGTCTAAGGATCTATTCTAATATTTCTTTTAAGAATAGTGTGTTCCCTTATTATTAATGTAGTAAAATAATAGAGAATAAGGGTTTGATTCTCTTGCGATTCGCGTAGTGCCAGAACAGTGGCCGGACATGAAGCAGCTAGACTTGGTAGTCAGTTGGCGGCGAGTCAACGTCAACGGCGAAGCAGAGAAGTGGGAACTATCGTCGAGCCGCGCGCGCGAAGCTACGACCATCAGCGGCAAGAGAAATCGGAGAAAGGTAAGTGCACCTCGACGCCTCGCAGGTTTTCCACGTCGGTGAACGGATTTGCGATAAGTTATGTAAGTGTGAAGGATGCGTCGCTAATAAACCGGCGATATCGGCCTAAAGAGATTTTTCTCGATATTAACAAAGCAGTCTACTCCACTTACATGTACATGTTACATTTACATACAGGTCAGTACGACGGGTTGCCTCATCGGCAGGCGCGCGTATCGTGTCATAGTAGACCTTGGCGAAATTGTCACGCGCGCAATTAAACGCAGTAAACTTCATAGGAAAGAAAGCATGCCTGCAGACGAGGCAACCCGTCATACTGACCTGTATGTAAGTGCAACATCCTGTACATACATGTACACACGTGTACGTACACGTTCAGATACAAATGTATACGTGTGCATAGACTTGTACGCGTACGGTATCCTTAACACGTTGATAGTTTGTGCATGGTATATATTGTGTAACTATTAATTATTACATATCTCGGATTTTCCTTATACATATATACGTGTCACCGTGATCGCACCAATACAGCTGTCGATATTTCTAGTATAGCTACATATGAATGCCGTATGTTATCTTCCGAATTATTATGTAGCAGCTTCATATCGTCGAACTATATTCTGTCACGATAAATTCTATTCTCGACATATGAGCATATCGATTGACGTGCTGAAAGATTACATTGAGGTTGAAATTTGTATATCTTGATGTATTCGATTTCTCGAAACATTCCGTTCCAGATTGTCGGAATAGAACAGGTTTTGAACAATTTACAACGAGACATCGGTATTATTCCTAATCAGTTATTTACGGAATATATTGATGCACATACTCTTGGATATACATCAAGACGAAAGCACACTTTACAAAACTTACAAATGGCCTCTCACTACTTGAATGACTTTAAATTTTACTGAATGAGCCAGAGTAGAAATTGGATTATCGTATAAATATTCGTAACATTTTTTACGGAATACTGTGCATGACAATGAACGGTACTTTGGTATGCGCAATTAAGAGCAGCAGAGAGATATCTTTCCTTTTTATTCGAACATGATACACTATCTCACGCGCGAGCGCAGATGCAATTATATTTAATGCACATATATATTAACGTTAAAGGCATCAGGGCAATTAGGTAGCGCTTTTATTGGCTAATTATTGGCAATTGAAAATTGATGGTGGAACATCGCCACAATGCTCTTTTCTGTGTTCTGCTGTCTCTTTTTGTAGCTGCGGACAAGCTGCAGTATCAGAGCTTGGACGCGGTCAACAAGGAAGGTATGTTTTATTGGTTACCGATTTCTGCAGATGACTCTTCGAGATAATGCACATGAATTTTTCAATATGATTTTTTCATAGCCCTTTTTTCCTTTTATTTGCTGTAATCCAAGTGGATTATTGTGTATCCTCTTCTTGTTATCAGAGTACGATTTTGTTCTTTTTGTTTCAATACCTCAAGAGTTTCTTATGCACACGTTGCAATGAAATAATTATCAATTAGCCATTGGTACGTCTTTCTCTCTCTCAGTGCACTCAGCGTTTATTCATTGATATATTTTGGAGAATTCTCCGTTTGATTTTGTAATTACAGTTTAATCAGAAATACGCTGTAGTGATTTTGTATTTTTGTTTTTGTACGTTACCATTCCGTCACACATACGTAGATCAACTATTTTCTTTGACTGCCACGTAAAGCAGTATCTCGATTTTCGTTGCAATTAGAGTGCATAATCGTTGAATCTGTATCGGTACCCGGAATGCGCTTTATATGCACATAGTTGGTATTACGAAATGCTGATTAAAGTAACCGCCGACTGCCACACTCCTGTCACACGTATCTCGTAGCAAGTACTCTCTGATCCCTCCCTCGGTGGAATTACTTTCTTCCTACATTTTGTCCTGAGTTCTTTTACTCACGATACGTTAGTTAGTTAGTTCGTGACGATTGTGTACCTTGTATCGATTTTTACTTTAATCAGTCCTGCAAAAAGCAAAGAAAAGCAAAGGAAAAATGTATTGCACGTGCTGCATTAGTGGAAAGAGAAATCGGCGTCTCTCGAGCGTGTGTAGTAGAAAATAAAGGAAGAAACAACCGGATCAAGTACAGAACACAGTCTGGTTAAGTCGATCCGGTGAGATGAACACTATCCGGAAAAGTCTAATGTGAATCTTGTTTCATATAGTCTAGACGAGAGATCGTGTTACTTTGCCAAAAAGCCGAAGTAGGTGACGATGGTTCAGTTGAAATAACTCTTTGCTCAGCGATAGTTGTGCGCGTGGAAGCCAACTAATCTGTATACGCGACGGCTGTCTGACTCACACAACGTCACTGTAGTGTGACCCATTCAGTCGTCCTCCAACATATCCTCGATATCCTACATGAGAAATCATCAAAGCTCCACGTGATTCACGCGACTCGTCCTCACGGTCGATTCTTGCCGAACATTCGACGCGCAGGAGACGCGCGTCATTCGTGCGTGATTTCTCACACTTGCGAACCGCATTGTCAAACTTTTCGCCCGGTGAACGTAATTTCCACCGTTCTCACGAATCTCTGTCTAATTTATTTGACTTTTTTTATTTTATTTTTTTCGAGTTCATTATCGTTATCATACACGTTTGTGTTTCTTCGCACTCGACTCTCATCAGTCACGACAAGCTTCTTTCAAGAGCCTCTCATTGCGATATCTTCTCTTACCAGGTAGAGACAGCTTAGACTTGTAGACGTGAGCCACGTAGCATTCCCATATGTTTCACTCATACACGTAACTCGTATTCATAAGGACGATCAGAAAGGGACGATCCGAGAATGAGACCGACAACGCACCAACGTATCCTCTCATGTCATTGTCGTGACGATCGTGTATAACTAATGCCGTTAGAGCTTCGGCAATCTAATGAGTGTCTGCGTAACGAGGCTGATCTATATGTCAAAGTCGTGTCGTGTGGTTTGGTTGGCTTACTGGTTGCATGGCTATCGTGTGCCACGGTTGTTGTGTGGTGTGCGCGTACCCAACGAGTCCGACGTATATATACTCGCTACTATGCGTGAACGATCGAAGGTATACTCTTTCACTCCTTAGTTTACTTCATTTCTTCCTCGGCGAATCTTTACGCGAGCACCAAGTATGATGTAGCATTTCTACTTGCTGTTCAGTTTCCTTCTCTTAACCACGCCAGTGTACATCAACTATCAGTGACGTAACGTCAATATTATAATTACCTACTCAACAATATAAATACGACATAACGTGTGTAACAGTTATATATATTGTTGAGTGGGAAATTATAATATTGATAATGTTACTGTTAGTTGCTGTTCACTGGGGACACATGAGATAAAACTATTATTGCTTATTAAGAGTCTACCAAGACTTTTAAAAATAAAGTCTTCCAGTCTCTCGTCAAGTTTTGGCGACTTATGCTACATATGTACGAAGGCAACATATCAGAATTGTTCATTTTAATCAGTATCTCGTCAACGATGAGAGAAGAGTCTCCCGAAGTCGTGCGAAGCAAGGGAAAGAAATGTCACAAATCCAAAGATTCGTCCTGTTCTTCAGCTTCGTTGATAAATGGGTTCTTTAATCGGCTCTTTTCTCTTTTGTTTTCTCCCTTCCTTTCTTTCTCTCTTTCTTTCTCTCTCTCTCTTTCTCTTTCTCTCTCTACACCATTATCCCGAATGCTGTACTGCACAACCCCTGTTGTTAATTGGCTCGTTTCGAAATTAACGCGACGCGTCTCGCACCCTCACGCCTCGCATCACATCGCACCGCATCGTACTTCCCCTTATCAGCCGTGGAACCGGAAGGACCTCGTGACGATCGGCGAATGCCACGTGGACCATCCACGTGTTCGAGGAAACCGGCGACCCTGGCTCAGTCGCACAGCTCGCCGGAACTGCCGGTTTCGTCGGACGCAGGTTCCGCGAACTCTTCCTCTTCGGACCCGCCACTACCCACGATCACGCTTCACAGCACGCCGACCTTGGTCTCGGCCAAGGTCGATGACAGACAGCTACTTGCCATTCCCCGCTCGTTGCTCGTCCCGTCGATCGCGATCGGCGGTATCCTGCTGCAGGAGCAGCAGCAACAGCAGCAACCTGCTGTCGAGTTTTACCGGTCGTCGTATTGCAGCAGGAAGTACGAAAGGTCGCGCTCCGAAGCGGTTCTGCTCTCGTCCGTCGAGATCTGCGGTGAGTGCGAGAGGTCTTCTCGACGAGAACGAGAGAGAAGACCGTTTCGAGGAACAGAGACACACCGGGTTTTCGGGGCGCTTTACGGCGAGCAAGATTGCTCTCAATGTCAACGTCAATGAGGATTCTATCGATAATAACGGGTGCTTGCCATTTATGTAACTGGTGTTAACATCTATGTTAATTAATTAATTTGTGTCAACATAACCCAGATGGCATATTTCATCATATTTTCTGCTGAATTACTAGCACAAGTACGCAGAGATGTCATTTGATGTTATGAACATTACATTGCGGCAATATTGCAGCAATATTCTAATACTATGAAAATTGCTGCTTATTTTGATTAAAATTATGATATATTAAAGGAGTACTTTTTAAAATAAACGTATTTTTTTTTAACATTTTGAACGTACTATTGCAATCAGCATCACAAAATATACATTAAATGTTTGCATTCTGTGTTGAGTACTTCTGTCTATCTGGGAAGTCATATAGTTGGAAAACACCTAGTCACACTCAATTTTCTGCAAAAGCAGTCACTTCGAGAGTCAATTTATATTACTAAATGAAAAGCACCTAATGAATGTTACATTGTTCGTTGACGAAGAGCATTCATAATAGAATTCTGAAATTGGCATTAGTAATATTTCAAACGTAACGTAAGATCTGTCTGAGACGTCACAATCCGATCCTACCGGAGTTATACCAGAGTGTCATTCTCTGTGATAGAGAAAGTTGTGTAATGAATGCGGTGAGTCGATCGAGACCGACGTTCGGTGTCCTCTTGTTAATTATTAGTAGAGAATTATGATAGCTTTGAGAGATACTACTTATCGCAAGGCGAAATTATTGCGGCAAATTAGCAGCCTGCATCCACAAAATTTAGTATAGCATACAAACACACACACACGATTCACTCAATTAGTCTCTTCGAATGGGTGCGACCGTCAATTTTGCACATCTAATAATTCCTTTTCCGACACGAACCATTCTCATAAGCATCAATTGGGGTTCAATGACTTAACTAATTCTCCGTCTCTTTTTTGAGATCTGAAAAGGGAAATCAGTTAATGATTAGCATCGATTGATGTTTATGGGAATGCTTCTGTGGCTCATTATGTGATCGATTCGCTTTGCTCGTTACTGGTGCCAACACTTTCCTTTTTACCAGCATTGATGTTTCTCTTCTTTCCTCTTTTGGTACGCGAGCACGAACACAAGCACGAGCACGAGCACGAGTCTGGCGTGACGAAATGTAAAGCTTCAGACGTAGTCCACTTCTGCGGCTTTCAAAGACACAACACGTACAACAACCACCATCATTATAACACGTTCATAACATTCGTTCATGACATTCATCCACTATCAGCCATTATCCGTATCATCCGTATTATTGCTAACCCTCGCGAGTTTAATCATTCAACATCATCCAGTCTGTTTATCTAATCATTCAATACCATCCAGTCTGTTTATCAATATTGATCCCTCCAGATTACCCGTTGTCCAACCTCATTCCTTATCTCCTCCCCAGACACGCGACCTCTGTTCATTCAACCTGATCCTACCTGCACAGCAAGGCGCCACCGTCACAGTATCTCCGGACAGATGAGTTATTTCAAGCTGTTGGGCTACAATGTCAGCAAGAAACTCACTGGCTCGGCGAACAGCCTCTTCAGCACGGCCGTGATAAGCGGCTCCTCGAGCGCGCCGAATCTTAAGGACATGGTGCCGCCGCATGCGTCTGCGGTTGCTGGTAAGTACTTCTAGAGATTGACTCTAACATCTGCCTCGGTTGATTATGTCCAATTAACAAGTCAATCGTTGAACTCACTGAACCATTTTCCTGAAGCAGTTTCCATTCAAAAGTCTAATAAACGATATTCAAAATTAACTTGAAAATTAGAATAAATCACTCAGATACAAATAATAATAAAGAACAAGAACCTGTGCGATCAAGGATTGAGCGAAATAAACTGGATAAAAATGAGCAATTGGAAGAGAGGAGGGCATGAAATAACTTACTTTTATTTTTGCTCTTTTTTTTCTCGTCTCATTATTTTGTTATTAAAGCGATAGAAGGTTTTGGCGGAGTACCACCTATCAGACCACTGGAAACCCTTCACAACGCGTTGTCGCTACGTCAGCTGGATTCCTTCCTGGACATGATGACCAGCGTGCCGTTGTTCCGCACTCCGGCCTCATCACCGCCTAAGCACCCGTCGCCGGCCAGTTCGACGCACGAATCGCTCAATCCGATTCTCTGCCATCCCGGGATCAGTCGCGAGTATCACTCTTCCGACACGGAAGCCGTCAGGTATCGTAAGAAATTACATAAGACAAACACGCACCCGTGAGTATTGACTTTTTCGCTTTCAATGTTCCTTTTGCTGACTTAATTGAACTTCCTCTTGAGCGTTACACCAGCCGCAGAGAATTTCCCGGTATCTGTGAGATCGCTTCCGGGCTTGCTTTATTCCATATGAAACACCAACGTTTCCCTGTCCTCAGATATATCACACCGACTCCGATACAGTACAAATCTCTGGGCGAAGTAGAGGCGTGTGACAGAGGGAATCTACCATCACCTACTAGTCCAAATAGTGAATATCTATTCTACGTAAATTGCGACGAGTGTAACAGACTTTATTAAATAATCCTTATCACGCAGGTACAGGATGGAGTAGCGAGCCGCAATCCTTCTTGTCTTCCGAGCCGTCGTCACCGGCACCGACCTCGACCGGCGAGTGCAGTATGTCCATAAGTTTAATAAGTAACGATGGGTGAGCTCCAACATATTTTTTACATACTTTTGTTTTTACCTTTTCATATTTTATTTATTTTTAAGGCTCTGCTATCTCGCCGCAGAAAACCTGAATTGACGGTGGCACCTAGTGTCGAGAACACGAAATAGCCGTGTCAGCGTAGCTGATTGGCTAACACTAGGCCAAGCTCACGTTAGACCTCGCTTGACACCTCGGAAAAATAGTTGCGTTTTATCGCATTATTTAGCAGTTGCTCCGTAAACTGTGCATATTATCGTGATCCTCATAGCCATAAAATGTGCAGCAAACTCTGTGATACTGGTGATACATTGTGAAAATCGAGAAATTAAATGTGTTCATACATGCTGATATCTCAGTTGTCAAACCACCGTGACAGCCGAAAAATGTATCATTATTTCAGGAGTTATTTTACGATACTACGTGATATATCAGCCAGATATCTGAGTTTACTATACTTTTTACAGATTTTAGGATTAGGAAAATATTTGGTTTTTTAGAGAAAAGTAAAAAATAAAGCAATAAAACGCAATTAAACGCAATTATTTAATTAATATAAACGCAATTATTTTTCGGTATGTCATTTCTCACTTCTGACGTCATCAAACCAATATGACCGCCCTAGAAATAGCGGAGCCTTAACACTTTATGCGTTTCCTTTCTTTCTGTGACGATATAATTATATGTTGTAACAAGTATAAACTTTATGTGTTCTATAATTATGCTGTTGTTGGCGTTATCTGTGTCTTAATTGCCTTATTTGTCTTAGTGTACTTATTATCACACGCCTTGTATTTAACATATAACACCACTAGAAACTATGTCTCTTCGTTCGTAGCGCTCAGCTTTTCAGCAACGCGCCGAAGTTCTCGACGACTCCTTGTCTGGACGTTGATTTTAACGAATTCTGCATGAGACTCGACCAAGAGAATCGAGAAAGTCGCGGCAGCGTCTCATATACGGATTATTACAGCAACGAGGACGGTCAGATACGCAAAATAACGCAGATACCGCAAGCAATGCAGCAAGTGGCCGCAGCAGCGGCAGCAGCAGCCGGTAACAGCTTGCAGTCGAAGACTACTGTGTGCGACGATGATCTTCCCGCTGACAATGTTGACGAGGACGAAGATCATACGTTGACTTTGAGACAAAATGAGGAGCAAAAGAAACAAGATGTTAAATTGATATTCGAGCAACGGGACAACGTCAATCACGCGAAAGTAAGCGGTGGCTGTAAAAAAATCGGACGGTAAGCAAGAGAAAATTCTGTTTGTACTGGTTGAAGAATGGTCTAAATTTTCAATTCTTTAAGTTTTTTGAACGAAAATAATTAACACGATTAAGCTATGCATGGAGTTCACTCTGCATAATTGATATAAAATAAAGTATCCCGTGACCTCATGTTTGTTTTAAATCGTAGGTTTCGTGTGGAGAGTACGGATATAACTCAGGGTGATGTCAGAATCAAAGAGACCGACAATACTATTGCCGCGGTGCCTGAAAAGGGGAAACCGTCCACGCCTCAAAAGTCCGACTCGCCGAAATCCACCGCTGCGGACAAAATGATGCGGAAGGATTCGAAGAAGAGCAGCAGCAGCCAACACTCGTCACAGAAGCGCAGAAACTTTTCTCGTTCGCAGAGTGTCACAGCACCAAAGCCTGTCGGAACGAAACCTGCCGAACCCAGCTGCAGCTACAAGTGCATGAGTTCGAAGCAGGGTTCGTTATCGACTATGTCGGCCGCAGATCTGGAGAACTGGAAGTTGAGCGTGCTAAATCCAACGACGTCGTCGTCGGAATGCGCGACTCAGCAGGACGAACCGATACTCACTGTAGCAGGTAGTTTCGCAGACAACTCGAACGTAACCGTAGGTTTTGACGTTAAGGAGGAGAAGAAGGAAGAGTAGAGAGATGATATCTCGCGAATTGATTCCTCCAATTTCCATTGCATAAAATTCTCGATCTATTTTCATCGACTTGGCAGCGTTACAATGTTAAAGAAGAACCGAGATAGAACACATCGCGAAGACAGATAACGCTCTGTAGATTTTAGAGAAGATAATTCATTCTTCCTGTCGATTGTATCATTATGAGACAAGTATTAAGCAGAAAGTATTAGTAGGATGCGATATAGTCACTTTGACGTTTCATAGTAGTCTAAGTTGAAGTTGATCAAAACATACACGACCAAGACCATTCGTTTAGCGAAACTTGAAACAGCGGTACTTAAACCGTATCTGCTCCTTTTCTAGATTATCTAACAAGATACTGATTTAAGTGAGAGTACGATATAACACACAGTTTAACATCTTTCAAGGAATAGCGATTAATCCCTGTAAGTTATTTCACGAAAAAATATATATTTTTTATTAACATGTATGTAGTAATCACGTTAGGTGATCTTTTACAAAAAGAAAGAAAGATATGGCAGATATTAAGTTATGGATTTATGATTTTTGAAATTTATATAATAGGGAAATTATATATTAGGGAAATTTATATATTTCTGACGACAACACATTGCATAAAATTACCACTTTGTGTAGATATATCTTATTCTATATAAAAGAAATTGAAAATAGGGAATTTTTGATCAACAAACGCAAATCAATAGTGTAATTGCGACTATTTATAATTTTAATCAGGATCTAAAAATTGCACCCTAATATTCCCGACTAAAATCGTGTTTTCTGTCTGAAATATCGTAATTATGTGCATATCTGTCTTCTAGAGAGATACAGATGTAAAAAGGCTTGTATCAATGTAGATAAATGTTATGTGATAAATATGTTTTTCAGTTGAAGGTGAGGATTAGTACATAAGTAAGCGTGGAAAGAGATATACAATTACGAATGCTGAGAAAAATTATTCTTAGAAAAAATTGTAAAAATGTAAACTTCTCTATGCTATATTATGTTCTTGTGTATTGTAGGCTGTTGTAAGCTGACAGTTAGTTCCTTATAGTTACCAAAGGTGCGAAATTTAATACATGTACGTGTCGTTTAAAGTATATCGCAGAACAACGAAGATATCCCATTAGAAATTCTATGTTCTCAGATTCGAAAAATACACGCATTTCGAGGATATTTAGTCTTTGTATAGCGATTACTGGGATCAGGAGGACTTTATCCGAGCCAAAGAATACCTCGTGCGTTTGACGTTGCGTATAGAAACAATCTCTGTATTGTTACACATGCAGCCGATCAAATCGTGAGTGGGAAGGAGGTATAACATGTTTCATAGAAATGTTACCTGTGAACAAGTAATAGTATCTATAAAATAGCTAACAATGTGCTACATATGTATACACATAACGTGTATATCATACGTGAGGAAGAGAGTTTTAATAAAATGATAGATATAGAATGTAAAAAAGGCTTAATGATTTTCTTCCTCATAATATTTAAATAATATATTTTGTGACGCGACTCGCGAAATTATTTCGCGAGCGACGGCAGGCGGTCGCCTGTCCACCGCGTCATCAAATTGCCGTCGGCTCCGGAACGCGCCACGAAAACGTAATCGGTAGTTTGGCACCAGGTGCGGAAAAGGCCGCACCACCTCGATAGCCGCGAGAGGCGATGATTATCACGAAAATCGCGCGTCCCGGGACCGTCGGGACCGGTAGCTCACACGATTTTGAGTCGGAGACGGAATGGGTTAGGGGAGGTTGCAAGCGATCCTACTCGTCTTTGATAACAGTGCGTTTATTTGTGGGACTCTCGCACGTCCCGGTAAAGAGCGCGATAGTATGAAAAGAATCGGTAACCGCGAGATGGTACGCGGATCGCGACAAAACAAAAAAAGGAAGACCCGAGGACCAGTTCCTCTGGGAGCCTTATAACATGCGCGGCCGCTCCGCGGACGATACACGGTACGAGACACGAAGTCCGATAAGTGGACGAAATCTGGAGCAGATGAGTGGTCTTACAGTTTTCCGGAGACGGCCCTCGGCTCGGCGGCAACGACGACGTTGACAGTCCGCGTCTTCCTGCTTCCGCTCTTTCTCTCGCGCTGGCTCTCTTTCCTGCTCTCGCTCTCTCTCTCGTTCGCTCTTGCCCTCGCCCGGGCTCTCTCTCCTCGCCCACTTCGCACACTCTCTCTCTCTCTCTCTGTCTCACTATCTCACTCTCGGTACCGGTCGAAACGCCAAGGCAATTGTCTGGTCGCGGCGACGGTCGCGGTAAGGCTGATTAGCTGTGATTCCGGGAGGATCGCGTATTCTCGTCCCTTCTCTCCTCGTCCAACGATATTCGGCAGGCGGGAATCGGCAATTATTGGTGTTACGGTCTCGAGACGGTTATGTCTCGAGACGTTGTTGACTTCGCGGCTCATCTCGCTGTCTGTCTCGGCGCTCCCGTTTTTTTCTCCTAGGCTCTCGTGACGGCTGCTTCGCTAGAAGTAAACATCGCTGACAGAATCCTGCTTCCTTGAAATACTATTTCTTACTTCGACATATTCTCAGCGGTACGAGATTCACGAATATTGAGCGCGCGATAATCCGGCCTACGGCAATATCTAATAATGAGAGAGCGATTCACCTGATCTTGCGTGGTGTGGAGTTGCCGGCCGCTGCTTTTTCTTCCCTCGACGTTCT